TCCTGGGCTGACTCTGCTTCATCAGTCTGCTCTTGTCTGAGGGAAGAAAGTCCCAAAATTATCATCACTTTTCTGTTGTAAAACCCATTTGCAATAGCGTGTTGAATCCGCTCCCCCCAAGGCCGAAATATATTAAAGTTCATTCTCCACATGACATATAAGCTAGCAGTATTACTTGTCTTCAGATTCAATCAGGATACAGTTCATCATTTTACGCCAAATCTTGGTCGGTTTATTCCAATCTTTTGTCATTTAATCCTTTGCACGTATTTTTTGTGATATGTTTGCGACACTGACAGTGCATATCTTAGTACACCAGCAGGGAATGTACAAGTAATTCGTAGGAACAAAAAGCAATGGTCTTGTCAATTTTTCTTTTTTCTTTCACAGTCTGGTATATCAATAATCAAGGGAAATAAGAAGGGTCATGTAACCTACAATAATGATTTTATACATGGATGGAATGTTTACCTTTATCTGTGGCATCATCTGGTTTACGGAGATCAATGATGCAGTCTATGAAGCTCTGGACACTCCCCATCTTGTTGTCCCTCCACAATCGTCTCTCTGTCTGATGTTCAGGTCGAGGAACTGAAGGTTTCCACCGAAGCTTCCTTCAGAGTAGATTTTTGAATTTTCGATGGTCTGTTCATTGTCCATGCCACCATGAACTTCTCCAACAACAGTGGAGTCCTTGACAACACCACCTGCAACTCCAGCGACTTCTTTCATTTTGTGATCTGCATCGTTATCGTCCCCGTCAGGCTCACCTCTGCTGCCAGTGACACAAATAGCACTATTAACTATTTTCTGTTTGTTGCCCATTCCGGTCCTTCACCACGCCTACTACGGTGGAGTTGTCAACATCTCCCCTGTGACACCTGGGACACGTGTTGCATGTTGTCCTTTCTCCTCCAAGATGCCATCTCTCTTCTCTGACGCCTACAGCTTGTCCATCCTGTACACCTCTGGTCACGTGTTGCATGTTGTCCTCTTCCTCCAAGGCGTCATCTCACTTCTACAGCTTGTCCATCCTGTACACCTCTGGTCGTGTTGCATGTTGTCCTCTTCATCAAGATGTCATCTCCTTCTCTGACGCCTACAGCTTGTCCATCCTGTACACCTCTGGTCACGTGTTGCATGTTGTCCTCTTCCTCCAAGATGTCATCTCCTTCTCTGACGCCTACAGCTTGTCCATCCTGTACACCTCTGGTCACGTGTTGCATGTTGTCCTCTTCCTCCAAGATGTCATCTCCTTCTCTGACGCCTACAGCTTGTCCATCCTGTACACCTCTGGTCACGTGTTGCATGTTGTCCTCTTCCTCCAAGATGTCATCACCTTCTCTGACGCCTACAGCTTGTCCATCCTGTACACCTCTGGCCACGTGTTGTATGGTGTCGTCTTCCTCCAAGATGTCATCCCCTTCTCTGACGCCTACAACTTGTCCATCCTGTAGAGCTCTGGTCACGTGTTGTATGTTGTCCCCTTCATCCAAGATGGCTTCATCAGGAATTCCATTACTTTGTTCCTCCTTAACCATTTCGCCCTTCATCACTTCACGATGACATCCTTCAGATGAGTTAGTGTGAATTGATCTTTCTCTCATCAGCTTTCTAACGACTTTTGCGTTTTCTGTATTTCCCCTTGCAAAGCGTTCAATATCGGAATCAACTCTTTCAGCTGTTTGAGCTTCAAAATATTCAATTATTTCCTGCACCGGGTACTCTTTAGCTTCCATAGCTGATACAGTGTGAGTGTTTGATCCTCTCTCGCTGAAAGTTGTCGATTTGATTTCACGATGTTACCCTGTGTAAAGATGGAAATTATACATTATTTACATGGTTAATTTAGTTTTTAACTAGAAGTTCGTGTACACGTGATTTATAGACAATAACATTTATACATTTCACAGTTGAACATTTGAGCCTTCATTCACACAAAAACATTCACTTCCTTTCCTCAAAAGCAAACTATGGTAACAACGAAATATAATGAGTCACTAATATTTGTTCCTCATAACTGTAGTTCGTTAAGAATGGAAAACCTTACAGGAAAACGTAATCAAATTCAGTGTTGACTCCCATTACACTTACCAGGCCACGTGAACTGCTGCTCTCAAGGAAAGAATATGGAAATGAGCACATAATGTTCATAAACGTCCCTCTCCGTACTGGTGAGTGAGTGAGTGAGTTAAGATTTTAAGTCACATCGGCAATATTGCAGCCATATCGTGACTAAAGCAAGTTATAAATACATCAACAATTTAAGTGAAATTAGAAAATTCTGCCGACGAAGGACAGTAAAATAACTAGATTATCACAGATATAGATATAAAACTAGTAACTAAATCTAAAACATTTGAACTATACAAGACGATACAAATTAAAAAACAGGCTATTGATCACCAACAACTGAAGGTAGATCACCATACTAGGGACCATGGGGACTTACAGCCGTACTGGTGAGAGAAGATGTAAGGGGCAGACTAAACAAGCAAACCTACCCCAACCCGAAAAGGTTGGTAAGCCACAAAGAAGTCATGAAACGAACCTGCAGTGACAATGATAGAGACCCAGAACCAAACCAAGGTGAATGATCAGACTCAATTTGCCCACTGGACAGAACTGACATACCAAACCAAGCACGATCCTTCGGATGTTATACCTGTAAAGATTCGGGCTAGATCTTGTCGTAAGAGGCGACTAACAGGGTCGGGTGGTCAGGCTAACTGACTTGGTAGACACATGTGATCGTATTTCAGTTGCCTTCTCCCCACTGTAACAACAGCTCAGTTGGGAACTGGCGGTGCTCCCGTTGCTTTATATCACACCATGAGGCTCTCTTCCAAACGAGACTGGAGGAACTAAATCTCAGAGAAAGGGATATAAAATACCAGGCCTACCTCTACTGAACGATTGTCGAATCCGGCCTTGATGAAAGAATTGTGCCTGCAAGTACTGCCAAGCCACCCCCTGAATCTGAGGCTTTGGGTGGGTCGCCCCATTCTGATTGAGAAGACGCGGTTGCAAGGGTCAGAACAAAATTCTGTGCCAGAAAGCTGAGAATTACCAGCAACAACGACTGTCAGGAGCATACGAAACTCAGCTGGCTGAGTGGACAGCGCGGAACAAGGGGACTTTTGGGATCACGGTACGCTGTAATGTTCAGTCCAGGTGTCAGAGTTCAGGATGCTGGAGCAAAACTGATTCATCCTTCAATGGGCAAACAGATCCATCTGGAACGACCTGTACTTCTGGGAAATAATCCCAAATATTCTGACAGAGCATCCACTCGTGCAACTCTGTCCTAGGATAATCTTCCGCTTCCCTCAATTTCACGGAAGTAAAGAGAACGTCAGTGGGCGAGGCTAGCCACGTGTTGCCGGTAGGTGAAGTAGCTCTGGGTGGACTACCTCCACTAATCTAAGGGTCAGTGGGCGAGGCTAGCCACGTGTTGCCGGTAGGTGAGGTAGCTCTGGGGTGGACTACCTCCACCAATCTAAGGGTCAGTGGGCGAGGCTAGCCACGTGTTGCGGTAGGTGAGGTAGCTCGGGGTGGACTACCTCCACCAATCTAAGAGGTCAGTGGGCGAGGCTAGCCACGGGTTGCCGGTAGGTGAAGTAGCTCTGGGTGGACTACCTCCACCAATCTAAGGGTCAGTGGGCGAGGCTAGCCACGTGTTGCCGGGTAGGTGAAGTAGCTCTGGGTGGACTACCGCCACCAATCTAAGGGTCAGTGGGCGAGGCTAGCCACGTGTTGCCGGTAGGTGAGGTAGCTCTGGGTGGACTACCTCGACCAATCTAAGGGTCAGTGGGCGAGGCTAGCCACGTGTTGCCGGTAGGTGAGGTAGCTCTGGGTGGACTACCTGCACCAATCTAAGGGTCAGTGGGCGAGGCTAGCCACGTGTTGCCGGTAGGTGAGGTAGCTCTGGTAGGACTGCCTCGACCAATCTAAGGGTCAGTGGGCGAGGCTAGCCACGTGTTGCCGGTAGGTGAGGTAGCTCTGGGTGGACTTCCTCGACCAATCTAAGGGTCAGTGGGCGAGGCTAGCCACGTGTTGCCGGTAGGTGAGGTAGCTCTGGGTGGACTGCCTCGACCAATCTAAGGGTCAGTGGGCGAGGCTAGCCACGTGTTGCCGGTAGGTGAGGTAGCTCTGGGTGGACTGCCTCGACCAATCTAAGGGTCAGTGGGCGAGGCTAGCCACGTGTTGCCGGTAGGTGAGGTAGCTCGGGGTGGACTACCTCCACCAATCTAAGTGTCAGTGGGCGAGGCTAGCCACGTGTTGCCGGTAGGTGAGGTAGCTCTGGGTGGACTACCTCCACCAATCGAAGGGTCAGTGGGCGAGGGTAGCCACGTGTTGCCGGTAGGTGAGGTAGCTCTGGGTGGACTACCTCCACCAATCCAAGGGTCAGTGGGCGAGACTAGCCACGTGTTGCCGGTAGGTGAAGTAGCTCTGGGTGGACTACCTCCACCAATCCAAGGGTCAGTGGTCGAGGCTAGCCACGTGTTGCCGGTAGGTGAGGTAGCTCTGGGTGGACTGCCTCGACCAATCTAAGGGTCAGTGGGCGAGGCTAGCCACGTGTTGCCAGTAGGTGAGGTAGCTCTGGGTGGACTGCCTCCACCAATCTAAGGGTCAGTGGGCGAGGCTAGCCACGTGTTGCCTGTAGGTGAGGTAGCTCTGGGTGGACTGCCTCGACCAATCTAAGGGTCAGTGGGCGAGGCTAGCCACGTGTTGCCGGTAGGTGAGGTAGCTCTGGGTGGACTACCTGCACCAATCTAAGGGTCAGTGGGCGAGGCTAGCCACGTGTTGCCGGTAGGTGAAGTAGCTCTGGGTGGACTACCTCCACCAATCTAAGGGTCAGTGGGCAAGCAATTGCGAGCCCCACCTGCGACCAGGCTTAATAACACATGTCCTAATGTCACAAACCAGAAATAAGTGCTGTGTCGTCTTCAAGACGAAATGATAATAAAGGACAATCTACATACTCTATCTGCATTCTCAGACATTGTAAGTCAGCACTAGGAGACTAGGGTGCTTCTGGCTACCTATGTATATCCGGTAGGGAGGTTACTCTGGGTGGGCTAGCTTGAACAATCCAAGATATAATAATCATCGTCTTTTCTGTTACTTAAGATGCACGTGAAGCAAAATGCATATATCTACTGTTACGAGAGTGTGTTTTTTTTGTAATTTGTATTAACATTGGTTAGATGATATTCATTATGGGTCAGAGTGTTTAAAGTTTTGAGTGTTGGTTGTGGATTCACATTTTTCCGTCATATATGTTCAAAGTCAATAGTATTTTTAGCCGCACGCCTTTTGGTAGCACTCAAGAGTTACCTGCCCTTAACTATCTATTTCCGGCCGTCGTCATGTCGTAAACTTGACGCCGATCCAGAAGATTCTGAGTGAATAATGATACAGCCATGCTTTGCTCGAAAGTACAAGAATCTGTGTCAGTATATATATAGGCTGGCTGTTGTGTTGTGCGACACAGGGATTGACACACGGACTAACACACGGAATTACTCGGACCGTGTCATATCACTGGAGTTGTGCCTGCCCATTGTTTGCCTTCCACATAGTCTGACCCTGACCCTGATTCCATACCTTTGTCACGGCAATTATTTAACCGTAACACTACGAAAACATAACAGATCTTTCTCGGCAGTTCTAAGCGTCACCATACATTTCTTATACCATAGTCGTAAACGCTGCCACATAACAGTATGTACTTGGGAAGTACATTTTACATTTGTTTTGTTGTATCTCCATTATTATATTTTTGAATGATATGTCAGGCACTTATTAGATGTACCCAGGGGAAACTACAGCTCGCTTCTTTCTTTTTCACGGCCTGGCGTCATTATGTGCAACATTATCAAAGCTGTTTTAGTAATAAAGTTGAATAGACAGTAAACTGCGGTCGTGTCGAACTGAAAGGAACTAGATTTTTAGTTCGTTATAACCCTAGTTCGTTTTACGCATTGGACTAAAATGTACAGCAGGTGATCAGGACCAGGAACACTGCGATTACGTCCGCCTGGCTTTAACCACAATTTCAGTTCCTTTCTTTTCCTAATAACCTGCTACACCCGTTCAGACTAATGTTTTCACATACATATGTCCGGACCTGACATATTATAGATCCTGTTGAACCGAGAGTCCGTGATACAGACTTTCTGTCAGACAACAGAGAGCCCTATACTGACACTAGTGTCTGTTTACGGGCAATCAGTGGAAGAAGTAATGTCTGGCTTGTCAACATTAAGAAAGTACTTACCATTGATTCCGAGGTGTCGGGTTTGTATATCCAGTTTATGTTGTCTCTGGCTCGTGAGCTAATGACGGAGTGTATGGGAATCCCGGGAGATTAGCTATTTCATGGTCACACGCGATGTAACAGGAAAAGGGCTACATTGTCATGAAATGCATACTTTTGTCCTCGTACAGCACACATACGATCCAGAACGTCCAATGACTGTCTTCGTGAGCATCGATGTATGCTAGTTGGATACAATTATATGTGTCAAACAAATAATTTATTCTGTACCCCAAGTAGCAAGGATTAACATACACTACCTGTGTGAATTCTGGTTGCGGTGTGTTATACCATCAACACAGTGAGCGTTTATTCTGTACCCCAAGTAGTAAGTGTTAACATACACTACCTGTGTGACTTCTGGTAGTGGTGTGTTATACCATCAACACAGTGGGTGTTAACATACACTACCTGTGTGACTTCTGGTAGTGGTGTGTTATACCATCAACACAGTGGGTGTTTATTCTGTACCCCAAGTAGCAAGGGTTAACATACTCTATCTGTGTGAGCTCTGATAGTGGTGTGTTATACCATCAACACAGCGGATGTTTATTCTGTACCCCAAGAAGCAAGGGTTAACATACACTACCTGTATGACTTCTGGTAGTGGTGTGTTATACCATCAACACAGTGGGTGTTTATTCTGTACCCCAAGAAGCAAGGGTTAACATACACTACCTGTGTGACTTCTGGGAGGGGTGCGTTATACTATCAACACAGTGGGTGTTTATTCTGTACCCCAAGTAGCAAGGGTTAACATACACTACCTGTGTGACTTCTGGGAGGGGTGTGTTATACTATCAACACAGTGGGTGTTTATTCTGTACCCTGATCAAGCAGCAAGGGTTAACATACTCTACCTGTGTGAGCTCTGATAGTGGTGTGTTATACCATCAACACAGCGGGTGTTTATTCTGCACCCCAAGAAGGAAGGGTTAACATACACAACCTGTGTGACTTCTGGTAGTGGTGTGTTATACCATCAACACAGTGTGTGTTCATTCTGTACCCCAAGTAGCAAGGGTTAACATACACTCACCTGTGTGAGCTCTGATAGTGGTGTGTTATACCATCAACACAGCGGTGTTTATTCTGTACCCCAAGAAGGAAGGGTTAACATACACAACCTGTGACTTCTGGTAGTGGTGTGTTATACCATCAACACAGTGTGTGTTCATTCCTGTACCCCAAGCAGCAAGGGTTAACATACTCTACCTGTGTGAGCTCTGATAGTGGTGTGTTATACCATCAACACAGTGGGTGTTTATTCTGCACCCCAAGTAGCAAGGGTTAACATACACTACCTGTGTGATTTCTGGTAGTGGTGTGTTATACCATCAACACAGTGGCTGTTTATTCTGTACCCCAAGTACCAAGGGTTAACATACACTACTTGTGTGAGCTCTGGTAGTGGTGTGTTATACCATCAACACAGTGGGTGTTTATTCTGTACCCAAAGAAGCAGGGGTTAACATACACTACCTATATGACTTCTAGTAGTGTGGTGTGTTATACCATCAACACAGTGGGTGTTTATTCTGTACCCCAAGAAGCAAGGGTTAACATACACTACCTGTGTGACTTCTGGTAGTGGTGTGTTATACCATCAACACAGTGGGTGTTCATTCTGTACCCCAAGTAGCAAGGGTTAACATACACTACCTGTGTGACTACTGGTAGTGGTGTGTGTGTTATACCATCAACACAGTGGGTGTTTATTCTGTACCCCAAGTAGGAAGGGTTAACATACTCTACCTGTGTGAGCTCTGATAGCGGTGTGTTATACCATCAACACAGTGGCTGTGTATTCTGTACCCCAAGCATCAAGGATTAACATACACTACCTGTGTGACTTCTGGTAGTGGTGTGTTATACCATCAACACAGTGGGTGTTTATTCTGTACCCCAAGTAGGAAGGGTTAACATACTCTACCTGTGTGAGCTCTGATAGCGGTGTGTTATACCATCAACACAGCGGGTGTTTATTCTATACCCTCAAGAAGCAAGGGTTAACATACACTACCTGTGTGACTTCTGGTAGTGGTGTGTTATACCATCAACCAATGGGTGTTCATTCTGTACCCCAAGTAGCAAGGGTTAACATACGCTACATGTGTGACTACTGATAGGGGTGTGTTATACCATCAACACAGTGGGTGTTCATTCTGTACCCCAAGTAGCAAGGGTTAACATACACTACCTGTGTGACCTCTGGTAGGGGGTGTGTTATACCATCAACACAGTGGGTGTTCATTCTGTACCCCAAGTAGCAAGGGTTAACATACACTACCTGTGTGACCTCTGGTAGTGGTGTGTTATACCACCAACACAGTGGGTGTTTATTCTGTACCCCAATTAGCAAGGGTTTACATACACCACCTGTGTGAGCTCTGGTAGTGGTGTGTTAAACCATCAACACAGTGGGTGTTTATTCTGTACCCCAAGCAGCAAGGGTTAACATACACTACCTGTGGGAATTCTGGTTGGGGTGTGTTATACCATCAACACAGTGGGTGTCTATTCTGTACCCCAAGTAGCAGGGGTTAACATTCACAACCTGTGGGAATTCTGATAGTGGTGTCTTATACCATCAACACAATGGGTGTTTATCCTGTACCCCAAGTAGCAAGGGTTAACATACACTACCTGTGTGAGCTCTGGTAGTGGTATGTTATACCATTAACACAGTGGGTGTTTATTCTGTATCCCAAGTAGCAAGGGTTAACATACACTACCTGTGTGACTTCTGGTAGTGGTGTGTTATACCATCAACACAGTGGGTGTTCATTCTGTACCCCAAGTAGCAGGGTTAACATACACTACCTGTGTGACTTCTGGTAGTGATGTGTTATACCATCAACACAGTGGCTGTGTATTCTGTACCCCAAGTATCAAGGGTTAACATACACTACCTGTGTGACTTCTGGTAGTGATGTGTTATACCCTCAACACAGTGGGTGTTTATTCTGTACCCCAAGTAGTAAGGGTTAACATACACAACTTGTGTGACTACTGGTAGTGGTGTGTTATACCACCAACACAGTTGGTGTTCATTCTGTACCCCAAGTAGCAAGGGTTAACATACACTACCTGTGTGACTTCTGGTAGTGGTGTGTTATACCATTAACACAGTGGGTGTTCATTCTGTACCCCAAGTAGCAAGGGTTAACATACACTACCTGTGTGAGCTCTGGTAGTGGTGTGTTATACCATCAACTCAGTGGGTGTTTATCCTGTACCCCAAGAAGCAAGGGTTAACATACACTACCTGTGTGACTTCTGGTAGTGGTGTGTTATACCATCAACACAGTGGGTGTTTATTCTGTACCACAAGTAGCAAGGGTTAACATACACTACCTGTGTGAGCTCTGGTAGTGGTGTGTTATACCATCAACACATTGGGTGTTTATTCTGTACCCCAAGTAGCAAGGGTTAACATACACTACCTGTGTGACTTCTGGTAGTGATGTGTTATACCATCAACACAGTGGGTGTCCATTCTGTACCCCAAGTAGCAAGGGTTAACATACACAACCTCTGTTGTGGTGTGTTATACGGGGTCTTCTTTTTGTAGGTTGGCAAATCACTGAAGCAGAATAAGCTGCTACAATAGATGTCACTGTTAGAGAATGAACCTGTTATGCTTATACCATCGATATAGTCGGTGTTTATTCTATACCCCAAGCAGCAAGTTTTAACATACTTTTTGTTGGTGTGAATTTGATTCCTTATAATCACACGATAACGCTTATCCCCACGTGTAGTGTAATGACGAGTTTGTAGTTGCACCAAGAGTTCCGTGTGGCTGTTTTCTTCTTAATGAGCCGATGTTTTCCCCACATAAGTAACCAGGATGTGACACTGTAATCTCGTGGAGTGTTATTGGTTTGATTACACAATGGGATAGGTACATGTCAGTGCTTAACTGGCCTCGATGTTTAGGCAGGGTGACCTGATAAGACGTTGATATGGGGCTGCAGCCCTCTCTTACCCAGAGTCCAATGCGACCAGCATAGTATATCTACTTCATGCAGCCATCATATGAAGATTCGTCACATCGTAAACTGTCCATTAAGACAATGTTTGATTGTGTTATTTCTCTGTACGTTTTTGTACGATTCTACATATATAATATATAATTGTTAATCTGCATTGAGAAAATACCCTAAGGCTTTTAAAGATAGTTCATCAACCTTGTGTACAATGTTCAGGTGCACCTCCTGTCATGGACGCTCTGTGTATACATAACGATATGGTCACAATGATGTATAAATGTGTATTGTCGCTTATCTACTTCGCGCATTTGTAGTGGAATAATTATTTATAAATGCAAACTTACACGAAGGGTTCTGTTGATTTCAAAACAAACGCGTTTATTTTCAAAGAAGAGAAAAGTCTGATCCCGTGATATGCTAATTAGCATGTGCCAGAGGCGTTAGGCTAATACTGCGCAGGTGCCTGGACTGCCGAATGTTGCTAAATGTCCTCCACGGATCTGGTGGTTCGCCCAGATGACTTGGTTGATACATGGTTAAGAACAAACCTCCACAATAATTGTTAACTCTACATACGAGTGAAGGTCTTGATTCTACATTTATTATTAACGCAAACAAGGCGTGTTTAAAGGTACAACTCAGGTTCTACAAGTGTTCATAGCATGAACATCACACGATTAAAGTAAAAACGCTCTTCTACTTGTCATAACACTAACAACACGTGTTTAAAGGTACAACTCAGGTTCTACAAGTGTTCAGAGCACTAACATCACACGATTAAAGTTAAAACGCTCTTCTACTTGACATAACACTAACAAGACGTGTTTAAAGATACAACTCAGGTTCTACAAGTGTTCGGAGCACTAACATCACACGATTAAAGTTAAATCGCTCTTCTACTTGACATAACGCTAACAAGACGTGTTTAAAGATACAACTCAGGTTCTACAAGTGTTCGGAGCACTATCATCACACGATTAAAGTTAAAACGCTCTTCTACTTGACATAACGCTAACAAGACGTGTTTAAAGGTACAACTCAGGTTCTACAAGTGTTCAGAACACTAACATCACACGATTAAAGTTAAAACGCTCTTCTACTTGACATAACGCTAACAAGACGTGTTTAAAGATACAACTCAGGTTCTACAAGTGTTCAGAGCACTAACATCACACGATTAAAGTTAAAACGCTCTTCTACTTGACATAACACTAACAAGACGTGTTTAAAGATACAACTCAGGTTCTACAAGTGTTCAGAGCACTAACATCACACGATTCAAGTTAAAACGCTCTTCTACTTGACATAACGCTAACAAGACGTGTTTAAAGGTACAACTCAGGTTCTACAAGTGTTCAGAGCACTAACATCACACGATTAAAGTTAAAACGCTCTTCTACTTGACATAACGCTAACAAGACGTGTTTAAAGGTACAACTCAGGTTCTACAAGTGTTCATAGCACTAACATCACACGATTAAAGATAAAATGCGCTTCTACTTGATATAACACTAACAACACATTATTAGAGGTACACTTCAGTCCTACAATTACTGGTAATACTAACAACATGTGATTAAATATAAACCTCAGTTCTACAATTATTAAAATCGCTAGCAACATGTGACAAAATAAACGTCAGTTCTACAATCATTAATAACACAAACAGCACATGATTAATAATTAACTTCAGTTATACAATTATCAATGACAATACACAACACATGATTAAAACCACACATAAGTTCCGCAACATGTCATGCTTTTTCCCGATTCGTCAAAAAAATGTTTAATTCAAGCAAACATCTTTCATGAAGACATTTCAGTTTGAAATTAATAGCTGGCGCTGATCTGGATGCCTCATCGTCAACACTGGTTACAACTACGTCGACAGTAAATCAGCATGTAGCCGGCGTTCCTCGCACACTCTCCAAACCTGGCCCAAGAGTCACAATACTGCCCCATGTCTAGGCACGGCGGACCTGCAATGTTACTTTCCTAAATGAATAAATTCATTAACAAGTAATGTACATTATTTTAGGATATTTCAACTGTCGCTTTAGCCCGTTGTCACTCCAGCTACCCTAGCAACATACTCAACACAGTGAGAAACGTGGAACCCGTGTTACTTGTAATAATTGTACGGAAAATGGGCAACGATATGTACACTGTTGAATGTGGTCTTGGCGAACAACATGAAAAAGTTTAAACGGACTGAAACACGACAAACATGTGCAGTGCGGTACAGATTTTCACACAGTAAACAGTCTGTGGACGAGTGCAGTCATGGGCACCGTTACACAGGCATACGTCATCTCCGCAACAGATGTATGACTGTAGCCTCCTGATCAGTGGTAAAGACTCAGCCAAGATCTACAGAAATCGACTATGAACGGCAGGTATACGAGTTACACAACACCTACCCTGACGCAGTTCTATGGTGCTCATTGTTTTCGATGGGTCCGCAGACATGCCAGATTCAACAAGAGGTAGAGGGGCGGGATTGTCTTCAGTGACAAATCACGCTTCACAATACGCAATATATTTGGCATGACGCCAGTTCGGCACAGGAGTTAGGGGGAACGTCATGCACTGTCTTCGTGGGGCTGATCGATTTGAAGGGACCAGGTAAATGGTTAGGGGAGCATTTGCTGCCAACGGTCGCTGTCGGCTGATTGCCGACTGGGGGAATCATTCTGCTATGCGCTTTCATGTTAAGGTTTGTCAGCCCTTCTGCCATTCTTTCAGCAACATGGTCCTGGGCTGATATTTCAACATGAACACGTCACTCCTGAACTACAGTTTAAACGTCTTTTGTAACAGCTGTTTCCAGGCTAAGCCTTACCTGGAGTAGTTGTAGTAGTAGTGGTACTCGTAGTAGTTGTAGTCGTGGCCGTTGTAGGTGTGTCGGTAGATGTAAGGCGGGTTGTGGTTTTTGTAGCTGGTAGCGTAAAGTTGAAACTTGTTGCACAGAGGCGGATGTTGCACTGGACCGTGTCACAGCACTGGAAGCAGAGCCTTGGTAGTGTGTCACGGCGCCCTACCATCGTCTGTAGGGTCTTGTACATGTCACAGATCTGTGATAACACAGAGGTTTCTTTCAATATCTTATATATGTCGATATATTTAGGATGTGTCTCGGCGACTTCGTCTGTACGGTATTGTACATGTCACAGATCTGTGATAACAGAGAGGTACCTGTCAATATCTTATATATGTCGATATATTTAGGATGTGTCTCGGCGACCTAGCTCGTCTGTAGGGTCTTGTACATGTCACAGATCGGTGATAACACAGAGGTACCTTTCAATATCTTATATATGTCGATATAGTTAGGATGTGTCACGGCGACCTAGCTCGTCTGTAGGCATTGCGATGTGTGCACTTAACAGGTGTAAAACTTTGTGTATATCAGGTGCCTTGCGATCTAACAAAATCCTGTTTTCATGACATTCCATTAACAACACAATACATGATATCGGTCGTAACAGTTATACAGTATTTATGACGTGTAAGTCACAATCAAAGCATTTCAAAAATAATTACGTTGTTTTTCTCGAAATTATTCATGCAAAGCAGGTGTGTACTTTCTTTCGGACGTCAGTATATTTACATACCTGCCTGCTTTCACATCCAAGTCTATAGGCGTGGCGACCTTTGTCATCTATATACTCTCGGGTGAAGCAGATCTGTGACACACAGTCAATGTATCAGTTGAGTGTGCCTCAAATGTTCCAAATGTTGTAAGCGTTACAAAAAAAAAACGATTTAAAGTACTTCAGCGTTGGAGGTGGGGTAGCCTTGGGTTAAAGAGTTCGCCCGTTACACCGAAGACCCGAGTTTGATTCTCAACATAAGTACAACATGTGAAGCACAATTTGGTATCCCCGCCGTGATATTGTTAGAATACTGTTAATAGTGGCGTAGAATCATACTCACTCACTTCATGTGAGTGTGTGTGGTGTAGGTTTCTACAGGTACTAGACCGTAGTTGAGTCCTTGTGGACTGGCAGGGGGGTGGGTTGGGGGCGGTTGTGTGATATAGGTAAAGGTGTCTACCTCGTCCCGACCACACAGTTCATAGGTCGTGCAGGACTCGGGAGAAGAGGCGTCGTTACAGGATCTGCACAATACGTCGTTGTCTGGAACCAAACATACACTGACGTTGTTACATACAGTGACGTTGTTGGATGCAGTGCTGTTATGACATACAGTGGTGTTATAACACACAGTGACGTTATCACAATCAGCGACGTTATCACAATCAGTGACGTTATTACAAGCAGAGACGTTATTACAAGCAGAGACGTTATTACAGTCAGTGACGTTATTACAAGCAGAGACGTTATTACAATCAGTGACGTTATTACAAGCAGAGACGTTATTACAAACAGTGGTGTTATTACAAGCAGAGACGTTATGATATACATAGAGAATACTAAAAGATGTCCCGTGTAATACCGTATTTATGAAACTCGCTCGTTAGATACCAAAACCAGTTACGAATTTCATAAATATGGTATTACACGGGACATAGTTTAGTATTTTATTTACTCACCCAACATTAGCAAAATAATATCAAGCAAACTACTATTGTGACAGACGTATTAGCATTATGACGTCATAACTGTAACCCACTTTGGCGTCATACGTACGACATCACGTGATGTGTAATAACATTGTAAAATTATAAAACAGTGATATCTTCAACGGGTGAGTAATAAAGTTGTGTTATTGCACACAGTGACGTTATTTCAAACAGTGACGTTATTACAAGCAGAGGCGTTATGATATACAGTGGTGTTCTTGCACACAGTGACGTTATTGCAAACAGTGACGTCATTACTCGCACTAACGTTTTTACATACGTCATGACTCACAGTGACGTTTCTGCTTATACTGTTGTTGTTTACACTCAGTGACGTTATTGCAGTTAGTAACGTCATGACTCACAGTGACGTTTCTACATATACTGCTGTTATTACACATAATGCCGTTATTACAAGTGACGTCATTACTCACAGTGACCTCATTACGCACTTCGACGTTGATATATACGGTGATGTTATTCAAAACAGAGACGTTATTGGGTACACTGACACGATTACACGTCGTGGGTTTAATTACAGACTCGTTTTACACACTGGGACATGTTTACAAACAGTGGCGTCCTGTATAAAGTGAGGCTGCTACACACAGGTGTACATACACACTGTTACATAAAGATGCACATTTACATATTAATTGACTTCATTGTGCCATTCAGTGACTGTTCTTCCATATTTCTACTGTCGAGTGTCCTCTCTATCCAATGTACTTACTGACAGGCGCTTTCACTGCGACGTGTCTTCCTCCAACACAGGCGACCACCAGCTGCAGAAACACACCCAAGATTAACAAGGAAATGTATTTACTATTACTGAAACTTAGGACATGGTGAAGTTTCGGTTTCATGAGGCGTATTGAGACTGTGAAATGTGCTGAGTTAAATTGAAACCATGCAGCTGAATTTTTTATAATTGAAACATTATCAATCGGGCACTCCCATCACAAAGGTCATATTGAGCACAAAGCTTGATATTATCACACAAACAGTACTTTGTAACAGCAGGTAGTATCGTTATACTCAACATTAATCGCGATATAACCGACCGGAAGGTATTGATGTAGTACGTGTCGTCACCATGGTTAGTATATAGCAGAAACAACACGATAACCTCCTAGCTGTAATATGGAGGTCAATCCAGTTCAACACGTGTAGCAGTTCACGGGTATAACTTTGTACAGGTATCTCAACACGTACAGTGTAGAAACTGTACACCCACCAGGAGGCTGGGCAACAGGTTCAGGGTTGTCATTGTTGGACCTCTAGAACTGGTCAAGAAGCGTCGAGAAAACAACTTCAGTCTGACTGACCGAAATACAGTCATGACCCACAGGTCTTATCATGGACAGATTTCGAAGGTTGGGCTAAATATGCACTCTATAGGAATTCTTATGGGGTCAAAACTTGATTAAACTTCTTCTCCGTTGTTTCTCGCTGGGCCTATTGTCGTCCCAGACAATGGATATTAACAACATACGGTGATGTTGTTTTAGGCCGCACTCAGCAAAACATTCAGACTATAAGACCGCATGTGCTGGAAGTGTGAGTGAGTGAGTTTAGTTTTACGCCACATTCAGACTAAAAGACCGCATGTGTTGGAAGTGTGAGTGAGTGAGTTTAGTTTTACGCCACATTCAGACTATAAGACCGCATGTGTTGGAAGTGTGAGTGAGTGAGTTTAGTTTTACGCCAAATTCAGACTATAAGACCGCATGTGTTGGAAGTGTGAGTGAGTGAGTTAAGTTTTACGCCACATTCAGACTATAAGATCGTGTGCGTGTTGGAAGTATGAGTGAGTGAGTTTAGTTTTACGCCACATTCAGACTATAAGACCGCATGTGTTGGAAGTGTGAGTGAGTGAGTTTAGTTTTACGCCACATTCAGACTATAAGACCGAATGTGTTGGAAGTGTGACCGAGTGAGTTTAGTTTTACGCCAAATTCAGATTATAAGACCGCATGTGTTGGAAGTGTGGGTGAGTGAGTTTAGTTTTACGCCACATTCAGACTATAAGACCGCGTGTGTTGGAAGTATGAGTGAGTGAGTTTAGTTTTACGCCACATTCAGCAATATTCAAGCTATATGGTGACGGACTGTAAATAATCGAGTCTGGATCAGATAATCCAGTGATCAACAGCATGCGCATCGATCTACGCAGTTGGGATACGATGACATGTGTCAACCAAGTCTCGACAAGTATGGCTTACTGAAGATCAGTTCCAACCCGGATCTTCACGGGCGTTGCAAGTATGTGAGTGTGTGTGTGTGTGTGGTTTTGTTTTTTTGGGTGGGTGGGTGGGGGTTTGCTGCTCTTGCGTCGCGCATTCTTTGTTTCAGTCATTCAGTCATATGGCGACAAAACCAAGTCCACATTTTAATTAAAGAATACAAAGGGGTTTCTGAAAATACGTATTTCTTCACAAGGGTATTTTTGCAAATATGCTGCGTCAAAAAAGAAACTTCACATTCTTTCTTCAGGGCACTATAAAACAACAAGAGATGGTAAGAAGGTTAAATTGTTATTATTTCATTGCTGAGATCTGTATGATGTACTCGATACACTGACAGTGCCATAATCATTTCCATTAGTTACACCGCCGTTCCAAAACATGGGTATACAGAATGTCAAGTCACAATATGGACGTCGAGAATAAAAATTGGCAGCCCGCAACCGATTTCGAATGGTCTGTGAGGACAGTCGACCTCTAAACATCTCAGCCCTGGTTCGTGTAGCCGGCAGGAATCTGTCACGTAGGTTACGTATTTCGATTTGACGGTCTTCTTCTCGTGACGTCACACGTGGACGACCCGACCTTGGGCGATCAGAAGTGGTGCCAGTTTGTTGTAGACGACCTCGCAAGTCATACACAGTACGACGGCTGCATCCCATTGCTCTTGCGACGTCAATAACTGATCTTCCCGCTTTCAACATGCCAACGGCACGTTCACGTTGCACATTTGACAATCGTGCCATTTCAAGTACCTTTAGAACTGTGGTTTAAAAGTGTTTTTTTCAATTCTTGAGGCCAATGCAAACACGTGCATATGAAGAAAACTTCGATGCGAAGATCACGTGATCGACTGCACGTGCACAACCTGATTTGGCACTAACGTCATTTGCACGACGAATGGATGGGTTTGAGTAGGTTTTGCTAACGTTTTTCTAGAGTCGAAAGATAGGGGATCCCATTTCGGATACATAGATGTATCATCAGAGAAAAATTATTCATTATTTTTCAAATTACATTTTGTGAAGTTTCTTTTTTGACTCAGTATAGAAACGTCTGTGTAACAAATTCCAAAACGGCCAATTTGTCATACATACAGAAACTATTTGTGATAGAGACCTTTTGTTCTCGAGTAGTTCAGAATGAGATGCCCGCTCATGCAGCCGAGATCCTCCAGATTGTTGTTTCATAATGTGAATCCCTTGCACCTGAAAAGTCCACAGAATCAGAATATGCTTGATGATGAACGTTCCATTGCAAGAGACAAACTCAGGAGGTTCCTCTCCATCCGTTCTCAGCAGATAGTCCTGAGTAAACCGAATGTGGCCAATACGACATCGTCGTAAATTACCTCGTCACGTCTTGACTGAGAACCCACGTAGATATACCAGATTGTTGGTTTCAGAACGTATTTCTTTCCTCTTGGGTGTCCCACCTTTTTGCATAAGATACCGAGTATAACTTTTGATAGTAGGTAATTAACGAGTATGTGGAGAAACAGAATTGTGTGCGTGTTCGGGGTTGTTGGGGAGTGTGTGTGTCCTGTGCTAGGGGACAAAGTGGACGGTATCACCCACTTCAGAACTGTAGGTTCCCACGGCATTATGTGACATTCAGCAGGCTCTGGAGGCTTGCAAGATCTACAAACATACTTGGCAGTAGCAGGTGACACCTACCATGATACATGTACATAACACCTACCATGATACATGTACATAACACCTACCATGATACATGTACATAACACCTACCATGATACATGTACATAACACCTACCATGATACATGTACATAACACCTACCATGATACATGTACATAACACCTACCGTGATACATGTACATAACACCTACCATGATACATGTACATAACACCTACCATGATGCATGTACATAACACCTACCATGACACATGTACATAACACCTACCATGATACATGTACATAACATCTACCATGATACATGTACATAACACCTACCATGATACATGTACATAACACCTACCATGATACATGTACATAACACCTACCATGATACATGTACATAACACCTACCATGATACATGTACATAACACCTGCCATGATACATGTACCTGACACCTACCATGATACATGTACATAACACCTACCATGATACATGTACATAACACCTACCATGATACATGTACATAACATCTACCATGATACATGTACCTGACACCTACCATGATACATGTACATAACACCTACCATGATATATGTACATAACACCTACCATGACACATGTACATAACACCTACCATGACACATGTACATAAACGACACAACATCCAAACCTGAAGTTCACATTTTTATTTTCATATATTATTATTATCGCCGTCATGCATGACACGACGGGGGTTTATGTTTACACAGCATGGACGACATAATACAAACATAGAACACGAAGGTCGTGCCTATTGACAACACACTGACGTCATGTTGCCTACTGATAACAATGTTGCAAACAAGTGCACCTTTCTGGCCAGATATAACATTTCAGTCACGTTCACTGGAACACAGACGATCGTGAGAACGACAATTAGCTCTATAAATATACATGATCTGCCAGTTATTATAAACTTACACTGGAAACCAACTGCCCCTTGTACACTAAAATACAAAACATCAGTGAGTGAGTGATTTTTCGGTTTAGGCGCTTTTAGCAATATTCCAGCAATATCACGACGGGGGACACACATCGTGCCCGTGTGGGTTATCGAACCATCGTCTTCAGCGTGACGAGCAAACGCTTTAACCACTAGGCTACCCCACCGCGCTATTACATGTTAAAATATGGGATTTGTTAGACACGGTATGTCACTTGGCCTAAGTATATTGCAGATTATCGACGGACAAATATTCACAAATGGTATGTTTCCAACACTTGTGAGGATCTTGCTCTTCTCTAAACTAATCTCTTTCTGAAATGACGTCATGTTTTCTGCATCCATAAGATACGTCAGTCTGCCCATCTTTTATTATACTGCATGTACATCTACAGATAGGCGTTTAACATATCAAATCATATCAACAGCACACCGTTGTTTTACCCCAACAGGGTCGTTCAAGTGATATAATTCTGATGTCTTGACACGAGGATGTTTTGTCAGAGTAACAGGTATCAGAGCTGATTACAGGTGTGTTGAGGTAACAAACGCCAGGCGTGAATGTTAGACTTGATCACAGATGTGATAACCATTATAACCAGGTATATGACAGAGAATGTTACTGCTAGACCTAATTACAGGTGTGTTAACAACTCTGCCGGGTGTATAGGAAAGATTTTACACAAAGGCGATAGCATCAGTTCCAGGTATTTGGATAAAGTTGATTACAGGTGTCAGCCATTGTGAAAGGAGTATAGGATTGAGTTGATTACAGGTGTGTTAACCACTCAGCCAGGTGTACAGGATAGAGGTCATGGAAGGTGTCAGCCACTTTGCCAGGTATATAGGATTGAGTTGATTACAGGTGTTTTAACCACTTTTGCAGGTATATAGGATAGAGTTCAAAGAGGGAGTCAGTCACTTTGCCAGGAGTATAGGACAGAGTTGATTGCAGATGATAGTCACTGTGCCAGGTGCAAGGTATATCGAACTGGGCTGATTACAGGTGATATTCACTGCAAGGTATATCGAACTGGGTTGATTACAGGTGTGAGTCGAACGTGACACATCGATCCTTGCCTCATTCATTCTGCAGGAAAACACAGGACACTTACAGTCTATATACACAATGTTGAACTGCATATATACATTTGTACTCTTTCAAAAGTAGGGGACACTCGGAAATATATTGAATTGTGAAACTTGTCAGAAATGTTACTTTCCATTTATAGCTGTATAATGTTGAACGAATTAGTCACAGCGAAGTTGACGCATGACAGACGATGTTGTGACCGCCAACGACCTTGAAGGACAATGGGGATAGATGTGAAAGTTGACGTTTTCAGGATCAGTCGTGAATTCTACCAATATATTCATTCCCTCTACGAGTCTCAACAAGGGCGATTTGTCGGGGTCTGTAAGACGCATTGGAGTGTCGGTCCCAAGTTCCGACAACGCCTTCGCCGTTGACGTTCATGTCGCCCTTCGTGTACCAGACGAGGTCAATGAGGACAATGGGGCTGTAGGTCACGATGACATGCTATGGACGTTGACGCCCAGGTCGCCCTTCGTGTACCAGACGAGGTCAATGAGGACAATGGGGTCGTAGGTCACGATGACATGCTATGGACGTTGCGCTGCGGAAGGTTTGCAATGGCTATTTGGGCAAGGTGAATTCCAATGATGTTATCCCAAAGACAAAACGTCGCCACGCCTCTTGACACGTGACAACAAGCATTTAAACAGGTTACCCCGTCAATACTCCGCTGTGACCCTAATTTGCAACAACTGGAGTCAGGCATAGTGACTCCATTTGTCAAACCTGTCATTTGGTTGACGTTGCGTCAGGATAACGTTGGCTTGACGTTCCTTTCGACTTCGTCAATTACCACCACAGCTATCAAGTGCAATGTGAATTATGACTCGACCTAGTGCACCACTGACGTTCTCTTGGTAATATGGCGATTTATATGGAACTACAGAACCCGTGGCCGTGTTGCATGTCTGACCCGTTACCAGTACGCCATTATCCTGAAGAACGTTTGTAGACAGTTCACCGTTTCAGCTGGATTTCGTAGATTCTGGGTTCGAATCAAATGATCCAGTAGTTGACCTGCGACGTCCTGAACAGTGTCTAACGTCAACAAGGGTTTACTGGTACCTGATCCTTCGTCTGCTTATCACAGGCATGGAACACACTGGCCAATAAAAACATGAGGTTTTACATCGTAGGGTGTTTCGCGTTAACACATTTCGTTGTTTACTTTTCAGTAATTACATTCTTGCCATGGTCCCCTACGTGTTTCAAAGAGCATACATGATTATAGAGACGGACAATGTTGCTACACCCGTAAAACAAACAGTTTGTTTATGACTCGTTACAAGAATCTTTAACACTTTCAAACAGAATAAAGTCGGCGTCAGCGGTTATAGAGCTGGACAAGAAGGGAGGTTACTGTGATGAAGCCGACGACGGAGGAGGAGGAAGCGACGTTGACGCTGGATGAGGGAACCACGCGGCTGTAACGCTGTCGTACGGGGGACCTGGAAACATCAGTGAGAGAGTGAGTGAGTGGGGTTTCGCGCCGCTGTTAACATCATGAGGGGGAACACCAAACGGACTACCCATGTGAGGATTGGAACCCGGGTCTTTGGCGTGAAGAGTGAATGCTTTAACCATCGCCCAATCAGTCATTGTTTGGTTGTTTTGTCGTGGTCGTTTGCTTGCTGATTTCTGTTCTCCTTGTCTTATGGGCATTCAGTAATCTTGTAACGAAATACTTTACTGTTGGCCAGAGTGAGTGAGTTTAGTTTTACGCCGCACTCAGCAATATTCCAGCTATATCGCGGCGGTCTGTAAATAATCAAATCTGGAACCGACGGCCCAGTTATTAACAACATGAGCTTCGATCTACGCAACTGGGATACGATGACATGTGTCAACCAAGTCAGCGAGCCTGACCATCCTATCCCGTTAGTCACCTCTTACGACAAGCATGGTTAAGGAAATAGAAATAAAACGGGTAAATGAGTGAAAGTGGCATTGCAATAGGGACTAAACGATCACAGATAAATCCCCTACTAGGCACCATGGAGAGGTCAGGTCACTGTCTCACAGCAGATGTCGCAGGTGGATGACGTCAGACACCATCTACTGCGTGGCATCAATGCATTATGTGTATATATTCAAACATTATTGTTTCACCTTGTTCTGAAATGGGGGACCCCCTCGTCCGGAGCCGTAACTGTGTCAGAGACGACGTTGTCCCAGGTGGCGCCGTTGTCGTAGCTCACCTCCACGTTCTCGTTGGGGTACTCTGTGTTGACCTTCCACCTACGGCCTTGACCCCTGTAACAAACTCCATTAACATGACTTCTGCTCAGTTTTCATCTTCGAAACTATAATTCTTAGTCCATTACATGGGATGCTGGACTGCTCCTATACAAGTTGTAAAACTGCATAAATCTTTGAAATGAAACATCCATAACTCGTTAACATACCTAGCGCCTGGTAGCGGAAGTCGATACGCAACGCCAAGCCTGTCAAGGAACGGTAACTCTTTGTACCCAAGAGTGTTAGCAAAACGACTCCAATCCTGAACACGTGACGTGTTTCTAGCCGTGACGTCACTGACGTTCTCCCACTTGGCCCGGTGCCACGCTCTCTCCGCCACAGCCAGAAGTCTCGGGTACAGAAGCCCTTCCTGCTGGCCCGCGGTCCGCGTCATCTCGCTGAACATCTGGGCTTGAATACCTGTAGCAACACAACCAAACTGAAGCCTCACTCAGATTCCATTGAAAAATCAACCCCATCATCTCACATGTTCTTGATATCTCACACACCCTTACAACGGAGCTCTGTATTATATTAGATTAACGAATCTGTCAAGCATTCAGGTGATGTTTGAACTGCAAACACGCAGGAAGGTTGCGTAATGCTACGATCTGGTTTGCGAGACTCTCCATATTCCTACAAAATACATTTCATGAGCGCTTCATTCAAGTTACTCCAACCTCCAATGAACGCAACTGTCAACGTAAAACTACATACGTCTCGATACCTTGTACATCCGCCACGTCACACCATCTCTACCAACCTATGACGTTACGTGGTCGCTGTAACGGCAGACAGATGTCTTGTCCCCGGGCACAGTAGCCCTGCCGTGTGAGAGGTTCCCCTAAGAAGGTGACGTCCACGTTGCTGTAGATGTCGTCCGGCATGTACCAGAACATCTTCCTGGCGTCTATGTAGCGAGTAGCCCAGAACAAGCCGCGTTCCCGGGGGTCGGGCTCCTGGGGGTGGTCCAGGTACAGGTGGGTGGCATGGCCTAGCACTACCTGGAGCAGGGAGGGGCACATTTAGTGTTGGTTTTATGAGGGTTGACTCGTGTTGAGGGTTTGGGCCACAATCAGGGTTGGCTCGTGTTGAGGGTTTGGGGCACAATCAGGGTTGGCTCGTGTTGAGGATTTGGGGCACAATCAGGGTTGGCTCGTGTTGAGGTTTGGGGCACAATCAGGGTTGGCTCGTGTTGAGGGTTGGCTCGTGTTGAGGGTTTGGGGCACAATCAGGGTTGGCTCGTGTTGAGGGTTTGGGGCACAATCAGGGTTGGCTCGTGTTGAGGGTTTGGGGCACAATCAGGGTTGGCTCGTGTTGAGGGTTTGGGGCACAATCAGGGTTGGCTCGTGTTGAGGGTTTGGGGCACAATCAGGGTTGGCTCGTGTTGAGGATTTGGGGCATAATCAGGGTTGACTCGTGTTGAGGGTTTGGGGTACAATCAGGTTTGTCTCGTGTTGAGGGTTTGGGGTACAATCAGGTTTGTCTCGTGTTGAGGGTTTGGGGTACAATCAGGGATGGCTCGTGTTGAGGGTTTGGGGCACAATCAGGTTTGCCTCGTGTTGAGGGTTTGGGGTACAATCAGGGTTGGCTCATGTTGAGGGTTTGGGGTACAATCAGGGTTGGCTCGTGTTGAGGGTTAGGGGCACAATCAGGGTTAGCTCGTGTTGAGGGTTTGGGGCACAATCAGATTTGGCTCGTGTTGAGGGTTTGGGGCACAATCAGGGTTGGCTCGTGTTGAGGGTTTGGGGCACAATCAGGTTGGCTCGTGTTGAGGGTTTGGGGCACACTCAGGTTGGCTTGTGTTGAGGGTTTGAGGCATTGCACAACCTTCCATTGCCGCCCTGTGGCCTTGTGTCACACCCATCTTATTCTCTTTTATCACACCCTTCCTTGTGTCACCCTGTACTCCACTGTATCACACCAACCTCGTCCATGTGTGTTACACCTACCTTGTACAGTACAACCAGAAATTATTGAGAATTTAAAGATTCTAATTGTTTATTTTTTTTCACTCATTACTCACGTATTAAATGTGAATATTAGCAGAACATAACTCCAGATTCAAAGACAGGTGAACAGTTAGTATTTTGGCAAGTCACCACGGGCAGCAATGCAGGCTTCAATGCGGCGGGGCATACTACTGATCAAAGAAGTTAGAAAGTCGTGGTCCATGCAGTCCCAATATCGGACCACTTCTTCTTTCATTTCAGTAATATTTGTCAGATTTTTCTTATTGACACTTTCCTTCATAAGCCCCAAAACATTTTCTTTAGGATTTAGGTCAGGGCTATAGCTTGGCCAATCTAATAATGTCATATTTTGTGTCCGAAACCAGGCCTGTGAATGCTTTGAACGATGTTTTGGGTCGTTGTCCTGCTGGAAAATCCAAAACTTTCCATAGAACACGTGAGCAGATGGAAGTAAATGTCCCTCGAAAATGTCTGTGTACCGCTCATTGTTCATATTCCCTTCAAATACACAGAGGGGCGTTGCCCCCGAACACAGATATGCGACCCCACACATTACATTTCGGACTGTACTTTGGGCGCTGATACAAAGGTTTTCAGTTTGTTTGGTCCCGAATTTCAGTGCATTAGGAAACAGCCATACAGAACTTTCATCTGAAAAAATCACATTGTCCCAGTTAAAATTTCTATGCTGTAAGCACCAGTTCAACCTTCGCTCCTTTTGTTCAGGTTTCATGATCGTTGATGGAATTCCTCGACTTGTCTGCCAACCCACTGCATGCAGCTCAGTTCTAATTGTCTCCTTACAGACAGCCAAAGTTCCTCTATCAATTATATCCAGCCTTAAGTTTTCTTAACTCCTTCGTTTGTTTTTAGAACAAAAATACCAAGCCGCCTCCTGTCACCGACAGTCAATTTTCTGTGCCTACCTGCGCGTTCCTGATGCTCAATGCCATATCCATTTGCAATATTTTTCAAAACACGATAAACAGTGGACAAAGGGATGCCTGTTCTACTTGAAATCACTTTAGTTGATCTGATGTCCTTGTTATAATACTCTAAAATCAACTTCCTCTTCTCTAAATCATCCATACTGAGGATCACTGAAAATGTCATCTGCCAGCAAGTAAACAAAGGGGGATAACTCTTCACAAACTAATGAAAAAGGATTAACGGAGTTGTCTCTCTTGAATGAAACCAAGCACTTGATAGCTGGTCAAGGTTGTTTATACTAGAAATCCAATTAAACATATTCTTAAAATTCTCAATAATTTCTGGTCATACTATACCCCTGCCACTCCCACCTTGTATCAACTTGCCTTATCAACCTTGTACCCCTGCCACTCCCACTTTGTATCAACTTGCCTTATCAACCTTGTACCCCTACCACTCCCACTTTGTATCAACCTGCCTTATCAACCTTGTACCCCTACCACTCCCACTTTGTATCAACCTGCCTTATCAACCTTGTAACTCCTGTACTACCACTCCCATCTTGTATCAACCTGCATTATCAACCTTGTACCCCTACCACTCCCATCTGGTATCAACCTGCATCAACCTATCAACCTTGTACTCCCTACCAGTCCCATCTTGTATCAACCTGCATTATCAACCTTGTACCCTACCACTCCCATCTACCAACTCCAACCTTGTATCAACCTGCCTTATCAACCTTGTACCCCTGCCACTCCTATCTTGTATCAACCTGCCTTATCAACCTTGTACCCCTACCACTCCCACTTTGTATCAACCTGCCTTATCAACCTTGTACCCCTGCCACTCCCGCCTTGTATCAACCTTCCTTATCAACCTTGTACCCCTACCACTCCCACCTTGTATCAACCTGCCTTTTCAACCTTGTACCCCTACCACTCCCACCTTGTATCAACCTGCATTATCAACCTTGTACCCATGTGTTAAACCTAGCTTGCACATACCTGTGTTACTCCCATTTGGTACCCCCTGAGCCACACCCACTTTGTATCCCCTGAGCCACACCCACTCTGTATCCCCCTGTGCCACACCCACTTTGTATCCCCTGAGCCACACCCACTTTGTATACCCTGTGCCACACCCACTTTGTATCCCTGAGCCACACCCACTTTGTATCCTCCTGTGCCACACCCACTTTGTATCCCTGAGCCACACCCACTTTGTATCCCCTGTGCCACACCCACTTTGTATCCCCTAAGCCACACCCACTTTGTATCTTCCTGTGCCACACCCACTTTGTATCTTCCTGTGCCACACCAACTTTATATCTTCCTGTGCCACACCCACTTTGTATCTTCCTGTGCCACAACCACTTTGTATCTTCCTGTGCCACACCCATCACCACTTTGTATCTTCCTGTGCCACATCTACCTGGTACCCCCCTTTATCACGGCCTTCATTTTTAGTTGTGTTCCACACTCACTGTGTACATTCGTGTCATGTCCATATTGTATCCCCTGTGTCACACCCATCTATTGTACACCACGGTTACACCCATCATCCCTACCTGGTCACACCCACCTTTTATACCCCTCGTTTCATCCGTCTTTTATATCCACCTGTGCCACACCCACCTTGTATCCCCTGTGTCACACCCATCTATTGTGCACCACGGTTACACCCATCATCCGTACCTGGTCACACCCACCTTTTATACCCCCCGTTTCATCCATCTTTTATATCCACCTGTGCCACACCCACCTTGTATCCCCTGTGTCACACCCATCTATTGTGCACCACGGTTACACCCATCATCCGTACCTGGTCACACCCACCTTTTTATACCCCCGTTTCATCCATCTTTTATATCCACCTGTGCCACACCCACCTTGTATCCCCTGTATCACACCCATCTATTGTGTACCACGGTTACACCCATCATCCGTACCTGGTCACACCCACCTTTTTATACCCCCCGTTTCATCCATCTTTTATATCCACCTGTGCCACACCCACCTTGTATCCCCTGTGTCACACCCATCTATTGTGCACCACGGTTACACCCATCATCCGTACCTGGTCACACCCACCTTTTATACCCCCCGTTTCATCCATCTTTTATATCCACCTGTGCCACACCCACCTTGTATCCCCTGTATCACACCCATCTATTGTGTACCACGTTTACACCCATCATCCGTACCTGGTCACACCCACCTTTTATACCCCCTGTTTCATCCATCTTTTATATCCACCTGTGCCACACCCACCTTGCAAACCCTGTGCCACACCCGCCTTTTATATCCGGATCACACCCACCTTGTAAACCCTGTGCCACACCCGCCTTTTATATCCGGATCACACCCACCTTGTAAACCCTGTGCCACACCCGCCTTTTATATCCGGATCACACCCACCTTGTATCCATCATTAGCCATCCTGTAGGCTCTGTTCGCTCTTCCCACACTCCAGTCGTTGTTCCACACCATGGCGGTACGAATGTTGGACAGTCGACGGAACGGGGTTTCCTCTGTGTCTATCAGCCCATCCACCCATCCTGACAGGTTGATGCGCAGATCAGATGCAATACGTGACACTTGTTCCGCGAAGTACTCCCTCACTCCATTCCTGTCCAGTCGTCGTGCCCTACACGCGGAAGAATTTACAAACACGTCTCTCACTTCACCTCCTACAAAGTGATACGTCCGCATAGGGTCTATATCTCGTCTCATTCTCTGCACCTCTTGCATCACGTGGCGGATGAATCTGTAGGTCGAGTCCAGACACGGGTTCACCATATTGTCGTCAAACATCTGCACCGTCAGGAAGTCCAGGTTGTCGTCTGCGTCAGTCAACAGGAAGTCGTCTGCTGTAGGGTCACCAAGGTCACGGAGACGGGCTTGTCGGGCCTGCATGGCAACGATGGCGGCTCGAGAGTGACCAGGCATGTCGAACATCTCAATCACCTGGGGCAGAGTAAGTCAGTGATTACAGACTGACCTTGACCTACCTGGATTGGTGGTTTATATTTTCAAAAGGAATAAATACTTTGTTAGAGAATCGGTCGGCGAAAAAGTATTATTCTCCGTGAAAAGACAAAAATCATCCGAATACAGCAGCAGTATGCTGCAATGAATAATGCAATATGTCTGCGACATATTTTGAAATATTTTTTTTCTCTCAGACATCTAAACCACCTGGGACAGAGTTAGTGAGTGACTACACACTGGCCTTGACCTATCATTTCTTTCCAGAGTGATATTTCTCCGTGAAAAGGCCTCCACAACCCCGGAACTATGCTGTATCAGACATTATTTTGAAATATTGTTTTTTTCTGTCAAACATGTAACTGTGCTGCCGTGTTTTACGAGTAAACAGGTTTGACTGAATCTGGAGTAAACATTTCCTGTACGCTGTATGCTCGATTCAGTTCCCCAAGCAAAACATCCACCGAAGGCACATAATTTACCTGTAAACACAAACAGTATAATTGTTCACCGCACCTTCCCACAGAAACTATTACCCGATGTAACATTAACATGTACTCCCCAAAAGCCAATCATTTTCCAGAATTAAAATGAGTGAGTGGGTATGGTTTTGCGCCGCTTTTTAGACCTGTGTCACACATTGTAACTATGTAATGTGAATGACGAATTGCTTATTTTTGAATTTGGTGCTATGATATTCTGTTTGCAAATAATATTGTTATGAATATATACGTGTTTAAAATACAACACTTTTCGACTTTATATTTAAAACGTTTATCAATGCAGACTTGATCTCGTCACTATATTGCTGGAAAAATCCCGATGTGACGTAAAGCCCAACTCAACTCAACCTTTAGCAATATTCCAGCAACATCACGACAGGGGACACATACTGTTGAATCAAAATGGCGATGCATTAATTGTCCTTCATCACACCAAGATGCTATGGCGAACCATTTGTTCAAGTCACACTTTCCCTTTCAGAACCACTCGTGTCATAACTGAATTTCAGTGTTCCATTGAAATAATAATAAAAGCCATTGTGCTCTTTTGCGATTGCTTGCATTCTCTTTCGCCTTGTTTTTTCTCTGCCATTGACTTTCTTTTTTTTATCAAGACAAGTTTTGTTTTTCCTAAAACACCAAAACCACTACCACAAAACGCTAACCTCGGCGAAGGCATTACTTGTGTAAAACTCTGGTGATTATTCACCTCTATATGCCTGTCAGCAGCATATCTGATTATCTCTCTGTAGTCCTCAACAGTATAGAAACCGGAACCGGAAGTTGAGTTATCTTCCCCCGATCCTAGCTGTGGAAGGAGGCAGTGTGTCTCTGACAAGTCGTGGCAGCGCTTCCCCTCCAACCTGGAAGTGCAAGTACTGTGATTAGCTTGATCTGATATTTCACAGATTCTCGTAAGTTTGATTCTCGACAGAAATGGTTTGAGAACTGACAATGCATATTGAGGTACAAATGTACATGTTTCAAGGTCGTTTAAGGTTGATTTTGTTATCAAAGATGACAATGTGTGAAATACAAACATCTCTGGCAAATCGCAATTAAAACATAGAGAAACTAAATAAGAGGTCAGGAATTAGAGAAACAGCGAGATACAAGTTTCCTCTCTCTCCGTTCACCTGGCAAAATCATCGGCACCGATACCACGCCCTCTCATTCACATCAATCATCCTTCTTACCTTCTCACTCCTTCACTCACTCTACTCACTCACTCATCCCCTGGTGAGGTCTGGAAGCCCTGGTATCTCCAGTTGCCACTCACTCACTCACCCTGGTACTCACTCACTCACCCTGGTGAGATCAGGAAGCCCCGGTATCTCCAGTTCCCACTCACTCACTCACTCACCCTGGTAAGGTCTGGAAGCCCTGGTATCTCCAGGCGCCACCCCTCGTCGTCACCCAGGTGGAACAGGAACCGGTTCATCTTGTAAGTCGCCATCACATTCATAACTTTCATCACTTCCTCTTTTGACCGGAAGTTGCGTGCTACCTCCATCAGTAATCCTCTAAGGTAACGAAGTAAAAACTATTAAAACATTCCCATGTCATTTTTAATCTGCAAGTTATATTTTGTACAATTACTGTTGCTCTTTTATGCTCAAATGCAAAGAAAATAATCCAGTAAGGTTGTTCCGAGGTCCAAGAAACCGCCTCACTCCTTCTTTCACTGCAAATGTTGCCCATAATTATTGTATTTTTAGCTACATGTCACTTACAAGGACAATTTCCACATTTACAAAATATTTTTAAATTGTCCTTTTATACCTGTGCTTATTGCTTATTGTTTAACGCCGCAATATTTCAGCTATATGACGGCGGTCTGTAGATAATCTGGACCAGACAATCCAGTGATTGACATGAGCTTCGATCTACGCATTTGGATACGATGACATGTGTCAATCAAGTCAGCGAGCCTGACCACATGATCCCGTTAGTCGCCATGATCCCATTAGTCGCCTCTTACGACAAGCATGGGTTGCAGAAGACCAATTCCAACTCTGGTCTTTATTAATCTAACAGCTGTTCTTGTACCTGTACTCGTATCGGGGCGCGTCCCTCACTGTAGCTCTGGGCACTTCTCCTGTGTACCTTCCACTCCCGTCTCGACACAAGCTCAGCAAACTCTGCACCCCATAAAACGCACCTGCAGGGTCGCGTGACACTATTGTGACCACCTGCCTCCCAGGATCCACTGTCAGGGTGTATGCTTCCGGTGACGAGGTGACCACGTCGTCCACTCTGACATCCGGGTTCCCGCGTCTGAGCTCGATGACACGTGACCTTGCACGGTTTCTGGACAGTGTTACTGAACTCATGTTGAGGGCGGCTGCACCAAGGAAGGACACAGGGTATAGTTAAAAAATTGAAGAGGGTGACAACCATTATTGGCATGAGTATATAAGCAACTGCGTGAAACGTGTCTGTCTAACCTTCCAGGCCAGGTGCCTCTTTGACGACCCCTTCCTAGTAGGTATCTCTTGGTTATAAATTCGGTCTTATCTAAAAAGTTATGCAGCCTGCGCCCAGTGTCATAAAAAAGAAGTTAAAAAATGGTATTTGTTGTTACCTTGACTGCACATGCGTCTAATCTATAAGAAACCGCGTGAAAGGTGCTCTGTACAACCCAATAAGCTGCCTCTTTGATGATCTCTTTGACAGGAGTAATGTCTTGCCTGAAAAGTTTTGCGTCCAATCGAGTGTCTTTGATAAACTTGACCTAGTAACAGTTTCTTGGTCGACTGAAAATTGTCTTTGAAAGAAAATAACGACCAGCGCGATGTCCATCCAACGTCACACCAACACATATTAAAAGATGGTATTTGTTTTCACCCTGCCTGCGTGACGTCACATTTAGTGCAACAATCTCAACGTTAATCCCTATTGCACGTTCATTCCCTGATGTCCCTCCGTACCAAACAGGATTTGGACCTTTCGTTATTTCGATTTGCTTTGAATGTCTTAATTCTCACCAGTGTAACCAGTGTTTCCTGTGTAATCTATAATCAAACCGATCGATTATGGTTATCTAAATATCGATCGATTATCGATAAAAATCGGAGACATATTTTTTAGCAGAAAATGCATGAATGCAATCCATGCTGATACCCACCTACGAGGAACCGCGCCTCCCGGATGAAGGGGATGTCTGCAGCCACACCCCAGCAGCACTGGGACAGCAGGATGCTGGAACTGTTGTCTATCTGAAGCAGGATCCGGGGACTATCAGACGTTACATGACGTTACATGTCTCTCTCTCTCTGACTCTCTCTCTCTCTCTGACTCTCTCTCTCTCTGACTCTCTCGCTGACTCTCTGACTCTCTCTCTCTCTGACTCTCTCTCTCTCTCTCTCTCTCTGACTCTCTCTCTCTCTCTGACTCTCTCTCTCTCTGACTCTCTCTGTGACTCTCTCTCTCTCTCTCTCTCTCTGACTCTCTGACTCTCTCTCTCTCTGACTCTCTCTCTGTGACTCTCTCTCTCTCTCTGTGACTCTCTCTCTCTCTGTCTCTGTGACTCTCTCTCTCTCTCTGTGACTCTCTCTCTGTGACTCTCTCTCTGTGACTCTCTCTCTGTGACTCTCTCTCTCTGTGACTCTCTCTCTGTGACTCTCTCTCTCTGTGACTCTCTCTCTCTGTGACTCTCTCTCTGTGACTCTCTCTCTCTCTCTCTCTGTGACTCTCTCTCTCTCTCTCTGACTCTCTCTCTCTCTCTCTCTCTCTCTCTCTCTGTGACTCTCTCTCTCTCTGTGACTCTCTCTCTGTGACTCTCTCTCTCTCTCTGTGACTCTCTCTCTCTGTGACTCTCTCTCTCTCTCTGTGACTCTCTCTCTGTGACTCTCTCTCTGTGACTCTCTCTCTCTCTCTGTGACTCTCTCTCTGTGACTCTCTCTCTGTGACTCTCTCTCTGTGACTCTCTCTGTGACTCTCTCTGACTCTCTCTGACTCTCTCTCTCTGTGACTCTCTCTCTCTGACTCTCTCTGTGTGACTCTCTCTCTCTGTGACTCTCTCTCTGTGACTCTCTCTCTCTCTGACTCTCTCTCTGTGACTCTCTCTCTCTCTGTGACTCTCTCTCCCTCTGACTCTCTCTCTCTGTGACTCTCTCCCCCTGATGCTCATGCTGTTGATCACTGGATTGTCTGGTCCAGACTCGATTATTTACAGACCGCCGCCATATAGCTGGAATATTGCTGAGTGCGGCGTAAAACTCAACTCACTCACTCACTCACTCTCTCTCTCTGACTCTCTCTCTCTCTCTCTCTCTCTCTCTCTCTCTCTCTCTCTCTCTCTCTCTCTGTGGAGTTTACATAAGTAACATCTCCGTCTTTGCGCATGCACACACAGTTCACTTATACGCATTTCACACAAGTACCCGTGAAGATCCGGGTTAGAACTGGTCTTCAGTAACCCACGCTTGTCGTAAGAGGCGACTACCGGAATCGGATGGTCAGGCTCGCTGACTTGGTTGACACATGTCATCGTATCCCAAGTGCGTAGCTCGATGCTCATGCTGTTACAGCTGGAATATTGCTTAGTGCGGCGTAAAACTAAACCCACTCACTCACGCAGTTCACACAAGCAGTACACACACACACTCAGTGCACAAACACACACACATAGTTCCCCCACGCACTCTCGAGCACACACAAGCACACTTTTCACAATCTTACTACCTGTGTTTCTAGTGGTGTTGGGAGAATATGTCCCCCCGGTCCTCCGAGGTCCTCAGTCAGCTGGTTCAAGGTATAACGGTCCTCGAGACTCAGAGGGTTGTACCTGGAATACAACACAAACACTACACTTCAGGATAAAGTCACACACCACTCAGGGGTACAAAGTCAGAAATCGTATTTCAGCACTTATAGCGAGATGAGTAGCATCACTGATTCAGTCTGCTAATTGCCACGTTACACCCTCCTACCAGGTACCAACATGTTGCATGGATACCAGGAGCTTGTTTTACATATATTCATCTCAGCATGAGCTGCAGTTAGTTGCAAGCGTGGCGCCCCTTTGTTGTGCTAGGATCTAAGAAGTATTGGATCAAATCCATGATCGACATTGTAAGACTACAACGTATCTGTACTCAAAGTTTCACTCGAATGTATTATGATAATGTATGGTTTAAAGCAAATTAGCTCAATCCAATAATCCGTGGTTGTGTATCGATTCCAAATGTCGTCGACGCGGTTAGAATTTAGAATGTAATATCGAGACGTCTCTTTGTTTGATCTGCCTGCAGTGTATTATTTTACGATAAACAACGACCACGAGTCGTCTATTTCTCATATGTGCTAAGTGCCATTATAGTCTCTTCAACCTTGCAAAAAATATCAGTGTTTAGATTATGACTCCCAATACAACCAGGACGCGACTATTTCTATGTTATAAACAAGGAAATGGTGTGTCTGTCTCAGATACCAGCATTACTATATTTCACCAACTGTCAGATGCGATAGCTCTGACATTGAATATGTCGGCTTTGCCCAACCAGCTAGATCCACTTCCCTCACAAAAATAGCATCGTCAAATTTAGGACGCCTCAAGTGGATGATGACTGTATATATAGATATTGTTTATATCTTTTCGCAAAATAAAGCAAGTCTGGTTCCAAATAAATTATTGTTCTTTGTGATTCATCTAGCAGTGGCGCATGTGATCTCCAGGAAGCCAATGTTTGCCGTAAAGGTCTCTAACATCTAATCCCTTGGCGACGACAGACGCCTGTAGTGTCAATCACTTGATTGTCTGGACGAGACCGCCCTTACGTACCTGGAATATTGCGGCGTTAAACAACATGCAAAACAAGAAAATAATTATCATACCTGTCGTCTCTGCTTGTCTTCCATTGTCTCTCATTAGTAAAAGGACCCAGGAAGTCCAAACCCTCTCCCTTGGTAGCATTCACCGCCCGTGCAGACATCCCTTCTGACGTCACATACCAGTTGGGCATCACATAGTTCCTGGCCGACAGCCATATGCCTATGACAAGTCTGACCACTCGAGGCTCGTTAGGGCGGAGTGGTGGAAACCCAGGAACAGGCTGGAACTTGAACAAAACACCTTTAACGTGGGTAAACCTCAGACTGTGTTCCTGCAAGACATAACCTTCAGGGTTGTGGACGAGATTGGGAGGGAACAGCTGTGCAAAGCTGTAGAAATAGATCTCCCAGTTGCCAGCCACGATGTCGGAGTCGTTGGTGTTGGTGAGGGTCATGTCAACGAGGCTGTGGTCAGGCTGCGCCGTGTTGTCGATGACGGTCAGGTTTATCTGCAGGTACTCCGCGATCATCTCGATGGTGTTGAGGGTCACGATAGGGAGACTGGGTGCCGGGTTGGGTGTGAAGGGGACACTCCTGCTGAACCGTCGGTTATCGTGGGATCTGGAAGTACACACACATTGTCCACGACCTGTTTCCAGTCAGCAACATGTTGGCTAAATAATATTACACGGAAGTCTACAGGCGCCACGCTGGTGGCATAATATCAACCAGTTTAAACCATTCTTTTCTTTTCAATTATTTGTGCATGTTTCCAAATTTCGAATTTTGACCCGAAACTTCGAATATATCTTGGTTGCTTCTGTTACTTATTACCTACAAGTTCCATGCCAAAAGACTCGAAATGTCGATTATTTTTCACGCTGCTATGACTATTTTTCACATCTCATGTTCGCACCTTACTATTTAGATATGGTTTTGGTTGTATTTGGTTATCACAGACAATTGACAATGCAAATATGTTTATTAGACAGTTTCGAATGCGGGCTATTGATATGTTTAAGCAGGAATGGCATTCAACTATTAATGAAAGTTAATATTATTCATATCGTCAATTTAAGTCGTTGCTTGAGCCAGACTGTTATCTTGCTCACCTTAATGATTTATTAATTAACCGTGGAAGATATGTTTCTATGGAAAAAACTTAAAGATTATGTTCATTCTGTTACATTATTGAATGCGAATTCCATTTTATGTTTATTTGTCCTGTATATGAAAATCTAAGAAATAAGTATCTATCGCAACTGTCTTTATCTCAAATCAATGTTAAACTATTGTCTTCCTTACTTTCCTGCAAACAACCTCGAAAACAACACAAAGTAGCCCTATTTATTTATTGTGCATGTGTTAAGAAAAGAATTGATTAGTTAGAAAGTTGGTTATATATGTCATTGTTAAGACGTATCTCTTGTATATGGCCTTTCATACAATAAGAATTGAATTGAATTGAGTATTCACTTGTATTGTCAACCTGAACATTTTTCGTTACTTAATTGTTTACGAATTATCTCATTGCTTCTGCTGTTTTCTGGATGTTTACTGCGGCGGTGGGGTGGTAGTCTATTGGTTAAAGCCACTCAGAAGACCGGGTTCGATTCCCTACCTGGATACAATGTGTGAAAACCCTTTCTGGTGTCCCCCGCCGTGATATTGCTTTGATATTGCTAAAAGTGGAGTAAAACTAAACTCACTAAATGCATTCACTCACTCGAGATTTCCTCGTAACTGCGATTATTTTCTATATTTCACTAATTTTTATTTGCTTACCTTGATCTGAGGAACAGGGTCTGGTTGTCTCTGATCTCAAGGTCACCTGAGACGTCCTGCCAGGGGTCAGTGTCACGTGACCGGAACTGGACCGGTAGACCGGGATAGACGTTGTTGGTTAGAAGTCGGGTCCCCTCCATTCTGAACATAAGTAAACGCAGAACTCTCAAACACACTTCACTTTTTTCACATCGCCCTTTGGATGGAAGATGGGCAAAACTATTTGCTTCCATGAAGACAAATCTGGGATGTCGACCGTTCTGTCCTCGGTGCACAGGTCACGTCATGTCAGGTCAGATCAGGTCAGGTCAGGTCAGGTCAGGTCAGCGTCATGTTTAAGGATACGTATTTCATTTACACAGCGATGTGCATGCACACGTTTGTTTGAGGCTGTTTGTGCGTGTCCATACTTTAGGCAGGGTTTACGTTTCCAATCAGGCGCTATTCTGCAGTTTATCAAATATATCTTATCAGACACTATATAATAACACCGATCGACCAGACCTCGATTTGGCGCTTAATTATAGGCAGGGTAACATCAAGTACTGTGTTTTGCTCTGGCGCGAACGAGGACCGAACTAGCGATTTCCGTTGTGGGGCAGACTCGCTATCACCAACACTAAGGAGACACAAACAGACACATGAATGAAAAGATGAAGAAAATTAATATCCATAAAACCATGAAAACGTACCGAGCACCGGGCGGAGGAATTCTGTACTGAATACCACCCTGGTCCATCCGGCGAATTTCTCTGTATCCCACCGCGGCGATGAAAGAATCCCAGTCCTCTTCCTCCTGCACAGTGCGTTGTGGTCCGCTCTGTAGACGTTCCCATGGTGCCTCGTGCCAGGCACGTTCTGCCAGAGCTAGCAGACGGGGGTAGATCATGTAGTCCATCTGGTCAGCTGTCCGGACAGTCTCTGTCCACAGGTGACCCTGCATCCCTACAACACACAGGTTTAGTGAGTGAGTTTAGTTTTACGCCGCTTTTTAAATTATTCCAGTAATGATCTACACTGCGGGGAACACCAAAGTGGGCTTCATAACTTGTGCCCATGTAGGGAATCGAATCCGCAACTTCGACGTGTCGAGCGAACGCCTTAAGCACACATGTTTAAACAGGTGATGGGAACTTAACGCTAACTCAGAGCCAACCTCTCATAATGATAAAAATTATATACACATTCACACCTGCAGGCCGTTCATTAATGCTTTCATTTAAATGATGTACCCTGTTGGGTGACTGAGTATTTTACGTTGCTTTTAGCAGTTCAAGCAATATCACGGCTGGGGACAGCCGAAATGGCTTCACACATTGCACCCATATGGGAATCGAACCCGGATCTTGATCGTAACGAACGGACGCTTAAACCATTAGGCTACCCCACCTTGTAGTTAAAAATGTTTGATAAGGAAAGAATTTGCAATGATTGCTGAAGTTGCTTCACAGGAAAATACAAAAAATAAGCCGATGTATCTCGTTGTTACCTATGATATTTTCTGGTCTCGTCAGCTGAACACATCGACTGCCGTCCTCTCCACACACGTCCGCTGTCGACAGTGGCTCCCCCGAGCGGCCCCAGTCGATGTTCGAGTACAGATTCAGGGGAGAGAAGTCGAACACTTTCCGGGTGTCTGTGAAGCGAGTGGCCCAGATTAAACCTCGTTCTTCCGGGTCAGCCTCGTACGGGTGGTCAAAGTACAGATGGGTGGCCTGGCTCATGATGACCTGTAGGTCAAGGTCAAGGTCAAGAACAAAGCGATTATATTCTGTTTGCCCCTAAGTATGAGGATGGGAACGGTAGAAAAGCTGATGGTCTGCTGGAAGTGTGTATCAATTGCAAATTATTTGTGATAATGCCATAAGAACATTCCATTTCAACATTAATATGTCACGATGTGACACTGTGTTTGTTTGTTTATTGTTTAGGGCGGTGGGGTAGCCTAGTGGTTAAAGCGTCATCACGCCGAAGACCCGGGTTCGAATCCCCACATGGGTACAATTTGTGAATCCCATTTCTGGTGTCCCTCGCCGTGATGTTGCTGGAGTATTGGTAAAAGCTGCGTAAAACCAAATTCAGTCAATCAGTCAGTTTATTGTCAGTTGGTCACATGCAACGTAAAACACAACTTTGCAGATTCTGATACCTTTCGGTATGGACATACCGAAACAAATCATCAAAAATGCAAATTCAACTTATAAAGTTGAAAAATAACGCGATGAAAAAAACGCGCGAAATCGGAGTTCAAACGTTTCACTAATTTTCCCCCGACTTTTCTGGGGAAAACGGGTTTCAACAGCTGGGCTGCGCTCATAGCACGTGCGCAAGTAAATAGGTTCGCGCAGCCTGGAAGCGGGTTGTCGGGTGAATACTCGGTGAAGGCTTTGGTGTGAGCTATTTTTCTAATGTTTTGTTGATATCTCACAGGCGCGAGCTTTTTATATGTTATGACAGTAAATACACTGTGTATATAATTTCATTTGTCTATTTCACCATACGTTCTTCTTACCGAGACACTTTCTCAGTTCGATACTTAAAAGCAATGCCATTATTTAGCGTTGACAGAATTTCTAACTGTGATATAGATATGTCGTTGTCATAGACAAAACTCAATGTCTTGTTTTTTTGACACCTGTGTGTCTGCCTGCCTGTCTGCTAATGACAATATTCAATACACAGCTGCTATCACTGACCACATGCAATTTGAACTTAACACCAATCAGGCTATACACCATAAACAAAACGCATTGATTTATGGCCCGAGTTCGGTCTCTGTCACATTATGTAATTACACAGACAGGCAGGTGTTACACTTGAGTGGACACCCATCCGCTCTGACTGGGTTCGGTATCCCGGCTGCTTCGTTTCGAGAGAGGTAAACCCAAGTACAAAATATTGCACTTTTGATTTGCGATTATACGCTTATGATTTTGTTTATTTGTTTTTTCATAAACAGCAATGCATATTATATGTCATGAAGAAGTGATAATTGTGTTTTAATTATGTTTGATTTTTTGGTTGCATGTGACCTTTAACGCAGCACAGACATAATTCCAGCTATATTATAGCAGTCTGTTATTAACCGAGTCCAGACAATCAAGTGATTTTGTGAGCCACGATCCACACTGTCAGACACGATGACATGGTATCGGCTACTGACCAAGCATTACTATTAGGTCACCGCTGGCATCCCGGGTTAAATTTGGTATCCAGGGCCCCGTTTCACCAAGCTATCGTAGCGCTACGACTGTCGTAAGTGTAAGTTACAGTACAGGACTGACTGACTCACTGACTGAATTTGGTTTTACGCCACTTTGAGCAATATTCCAGCAACATCACGGTGGGGGACACCAGAAATGGGCTTCACACATTGTATCCATGTGGGGATTAGAACCCACGGTATAGGACATACGACCGTCGTAGCGCTACGATAGATTGGTGAAACTTGCATATCTTAAATACATCGTACTGGAAATTGCAACTATACGATTCTCCGGAATACATTTCTGACTCTGCCGTGTGTTAAAACACCTGTAGCTCAACATGGACGTAAACGGTTCTCTCATTGTTAGGAAAACCTCTTTCTTGGGTGGGGTACTCACTCACTAACTCTTTCTTTGGGGTGTGCTGTCGTAGATTTAGTTCAAGTGTGTATGATTTTCTCCTGCATTGACCTTCATGCTAAAAGGTTGTCATAGCTTTATGACCTCTGTAACTATCGCTGTATTACAGTGAGAGTAGGGGCGGTGGGGTAGCCTAGTGGTTAAGGCGTTTGCTCGTCACGCCGAAGACCCGGGTTCGATTCCCCACATGTCCCCCGCCGTGATATAGCTGGAATATTGCTAAAAGCGGCGTAAAACCAAACTCACTCACTCACTCACAATGAGAGTGGACCCACTTCCTTTGTTTTGCTGGCAACCGTATAATTTGATAGTATGTCACTTGGCACCCTGAGTATGTATGTATGTCGTGTGTTGGGCCTTTTGAAATGGAAAGTGTTTTTTTTACAAGATCTCCTCGTGGAAAATTTATTAGGGAAGTTTTAATTTCCAGCAAATGTTTGCAAGTGAAAGCTATTGAACCAAATTGGGATAGTTTACCTTGAATCCAGCATTGGCGAGTCTATATGAGTTATTGTAATGTCCCCACGTCCAGTGATTGTTCCAGGGGTAGACATATACATCCGGGGTCGCCAGCTCTCTCCGGTCATGCAGTATCCCATCATGCACCAGCCCATCCTCCCAGCCTGCAAGTGACAAGTTCCGGGCAGCGACCAGCTGGGACACTCTGTTGGCGAAGTAGCGAGCCAGGCTCACGTTAGCTACTGGGTCCGTCAGTCGGAGTCGTTGACACGAGATGGAGTGGTTCCACGTTCTTCCCCACACTTCATCCCCTCCGAAGTGGAACACCCGTAGTGGGTTGACGCCTTGGTGCATCTGGACCAACTCATTGATCACGTGATCCACGAAGCGGTAGGTTGACGGGATGCAGGGGTTGATGGCGTTGTTGTGGAACATCTCCTCGCGCGGGTCGGGGAGACTGCTCCGGTCGTCTGCCAACAGGAAGGCTCTTCCTTCAGCCACCCTCCTCTGTCTCGCCAATCTCCTCCGTCTCACCTCCATTGACCTAATGGCTGCTCTGGAATGGCCTGGCATGTCAAACTCGGGGATCACCTCGATATGGCGTTCTCTCGCAAACTGTAAAATCTCGCGATAATCAGCGATAGTGTAGAAACCGGAACCGGAAGTGCCTGTGCTGGGTCCTGAACCAATTTCTGGGAGGAGACAAAGGTTCTCATTGAGATCGTGACATCTCCTTGATCCAAACTGAAAATCGGAACAACCATTAAATATACTGACGTACAAAGAAAGTGCACACCTGGTGTTTTGTGACTTTAGCAACAAATAAACAACGTTTGTGATTTGCAAGTCACAGTCAAATCCCTTTGTAAAATATTTACGTTGTTTTATTGTTGTTTTAAATCTGAAAAACACAATTATAATCATACTTTCATTTGCACATCAGGCGTAATTTATTACTCAAACTTAGTTGTACAGTCATAACTCATAAGCAAGAGTTTTCAATGGACAGAGGGGGCATCAAGTTTGACCATTGGTAAAAAGTATTTTCGGGATGTGTGAAAGGCATTTCTTGTGCCTGGCACCTGCTTAAAAATATTGAAAAGGGTGGAGTGGATTTGTTGACATTACGGGAAGGCGGTATACGTTGATATCACATCATGTTTTCAGGGGCTGATACAGCTTTTTTAGAAAGGGGGGTGCACACTATTGAGAAAAGGGAGGGTGCACATGTCATTTTCATCCGTCTTTCAATGGTCATTTAATAAACTTTCAGGACAAAAGGGGGGTTGCGCACCCCTGCACCCCCCTTCTGGGTCTGCCTATGTGTTTTCATGTTTATCGGAAATACGTATGAATAAACAGTTTAAAATATTTTACTGAACAGATCATGTCATTTAAACTTCCGGAACTTCTGTATTTGTTCCCAAAACCTACCAATCGTGATTTTACATAAGGGGTAGAAAGTGTTAACTGAAGGTGTAAAGGCATTTTTGAAAGAATACACACAGGCATGGTGGATGCCTTAGCTACAATCAGTCCCTGGAGGAACCGGTGAATACCTACCCTGGTGAGATCTGGCAGTCCTGGAATCGCTAGTCTCCAACCCTGGTCGTCAGACAGATGAAAGTGGAACCTGTTCAGCTTATACGCAGACATAGCTCCCAGAAGTCTCAGCACATCCTGTTTCTGGAGGAAGTTCCTTGCAACGTCCAAATGCATGCCTCTGTATTCAAATCGGGGAGCATCCGTTATTCTCGTTTGTGGCAGTACACGGCCACCATTCAACAACATCAGCAGGGAATGGATGCCATAGAATACACCAGATGGTCCCTGGCCAGTGATTTCTACAGTATTGGTTGTCGGGTCCGCTGTTAGGCGATAGGCGTCGCTGCTGTTGAAGAGTCGTCTGTCGGTGACGTCGCGGAGATCGACCTGTCCCATCCTGAGCCTGATGACATTGTTTGTCTGGTCGGTCTGTGTTGGGCGGTTCATACGTAGCTGACCTGGGGGAAAGAGGGTTAGTGAACTCAAAACTCATGGTGTACAAATACACTGAACTGAAATAAAACATCCACTCTGTATATGATAGGTGGATTTCAATGATATTTTCACATTCTTGGAAAAGAGAAGAAACAACTTGTTAAGTGGCATGTGGTCCTCTGCATAGAGCCCAGGTCACAAATGATGTGAAGTTGGGTGCGGAGAGTCCTTGGATGGGTGACCGTGTGTGACAGCTTGACTCCTGAGGTTTCTAGGACTTCAGTCCTGCCCCACAACGGAGCACATGTGGTCTCACCTTAGGCAAGTGAGTTTGTTGAAATTTGACTCTGCTCACCCAGTAGTGAATGGGTACCCGGTTGGATACGTCATATCACTGTCCAGCGCCATGCAGGTAGTTTTAATTATTCTGGGTTATAATGTCTTAGCGCTTTGTGCATGTACAAGTGCCAGGATACAATCTTTTATAAGTATTTATTATTATCATATTATCATTAAATATTATTCAATTAACCTAATATGTTCGTATATTCGCTCGTAATTGTACCTCAGTGCTATAGATTTGCATATAAACATAAAGTTCCGTTCAGTGAAGTTTGAAGTACGGCAGAGGACATGGATGTTTGCCCCAAGGACAGGCAGATCATCCTGCTATACGGTGTATCAACATAAGAGACTAATACCAGTGAGATAAACTAAATACTGACCACAGCAGATTGAATAACTGCCACGTCCTAAAAGTTTGCCAAATAGTAACTTTGACTGAAACACATAACTTTCAGAATGTCACCCTCACAGTGTCTTCTCAGCCATAAATTATGATTTCATTATGTTGCCTGTCAGTGTACCTACCTGGTCATTGACATAGGTGGAGCACCTCCTAGAGTCAGCCGATACCATTTGCACGTTGTCAACAGCCCATTGACACGTACCTAGTATGTCGGGACAAAACTTGATTAAACTCAATGTTTGAGCTTTTCTTAGTGCGCCTGTTTGAAGTGAACCAACCTGCTAGAAAAGTAGCCTCCCAGACGACCTCCGTGTCAGCAGCTATGGGCCACTGGTCTGCAATGGTCAGATCACGTGATGTGTCAAACACCGCTGAGAGAGGTTGGGGAATCAACCTTCTCCTCCATTCCTCCCCCCGTGTTCCTCCTGCCTCCCCTTCAGACCCTAGGTTTCTCTGGAACCTTTCCTGTGGGGTGGGCGGGTTGTACAGATCGTCCGTGTCTCGCTTCCACTGTTTCAGGGTGTCGTAGGTCCCGCCGAACTGAAGGCTCTCGTCTCGGGTGTTGGCGAGTACCCTAGGGATCAGTCCTGTTTAGAAATATATATTAGAGGTATATAATGTTATTTTACTAAACTGTGCATGCAATTTCTTCTTGCAGATAACGGCGGATAGGATAGGTTTTGAGACTCGATTCGAATGACACAAACGTTGGAGAAAGTTTCTTCTTGGGGAAGAGAGTTCAACATGTAGGGGCATAATGTTCAAAGCATCTCTGACCAAAGCACTGGGGTTCCTGTTTTGCCGGACGATTTTGTTCTAGATAAAAATTCATTGATGCGCGATAATCCTTAAACAATAGGGGATTAACTTATAGTCTTTTTCGGCTATATGTACACACTATAACTTCATCTCGATGTTTTCATTTCAGCAATTCAACATTTTTGTGTATTTTCTCTTCATGATAAAATTAATAAATACACATTTCGTACATTTTCAGAAAATGAGAAAATGGTAACTGAAGACATATAAATAAATATGCATAAATATTTTTCCATAAATATACATAAAGATTTTTGTTCATAAATATACATAAATAATAATTATTCCAACACAGGGACACCAACTAGGTCTGAGACAAGATCCCTTGAAATTGGAATGAACTGAATTTTGCAATGAGGGAACCATGTCTACATTCTTTATATACAGGCACAATGGCAGAAATAATCATTTGAATAAGTTTCACTCAATTTAGCTGATATAATTCGAGTTCACTCAAATTAGTTACTAGAAATCGAGTTCACCCAAAACAAATTGGTGCCTTGTAATTATTGAGTTCGAACTCTGCCAAACGCCATGTCCCCCAAATGAGACTATGGGTGACAACTACTCACTGAAAACAGACTATAGCCAGCAAACTAGCGGACCGTTACTCTTAATCCGTTATCATCACATCAGCTGTCCGGCAAAGTGGGGTATGACCGTAATTTGAGAAAACTGGAATTATTAAATTCCAGAAACTATACACCTTTTCCTGGTAAACTTACCCTCGGTATTAGTTAGAAAATCTTTTGCACCTGACACGTGGCAGCAAATTTTAATTAAGTCAGCCTTCATTTTCATACAGGGCGGTGGGGTAGCCTGATGGGTAAACCGTCCGCTAGTCCCGATGAAGACCCGGGTTCGATTCCCCACATGGGCGCAATGTGTGAAGCCCATTTCTGGTGTCCCATGCTGTGACATTGCTGGAATATTGATGTAAGCGGCACACAACCATACTCACTCACTCACTTACGCTTTGCCAGAGATGTAATCTCAGTTAATGTTTTCATGGCTGAAGTGCAATAGAGTGCGTGAGTGAGTGAGTGAGTATAGTTTCACGCCGCTTTAAGCAATATTCCAGCAATATCACGACGGGGGACACCACACACATTGTACCCATGTGGGGAATCGAACCTGGGTCTTTGTCGTGACGAGCGAACACTTTAACCATTGTGCTAGCCACCGCCCCTGAAGTGTAACCTCAATGATCTACATACCGTTAGCGGTGACGTACACGTTGGGCATGACGTCAGACCGGCTGGACATCCACTGTTCACCCAGGAAGTGTATGATGCGGGACTGTCCCCGCGGGAGGGGGAGGAAGTTACGGGTGGGGGACAGGCGATAGAGGGAGCCTTGGACCCTGTCCAGCCTCCAACCTTGCTCCGCGAGACCCTCCCCCAGCTGACTGGGGGGTATTCCCCGGATCTTGTTCAAGAAGATGCTCCAGGGGCCGGTCTGGATCACGAGGTTGCCCCGATTGGTCAGATTAAAGAGAAGCTGGCACGTGGTGCCCTGGTCATGCAGGTTGTCAATCACCTGGAACCGGAAGTCCAGGAACCGAGCCAGGTAGTCGATAGCTGATTGGTCGATCTGAGAGGTCACATGACCCACTGTGGAATACAACATTTATATCATTTGAGCGATAAATATGGTAATGGTTCCACTACACTAAATCAGTATCGCTTGCTCGCTGAGCCGGTCCGTATGTAAACATTAATAAACATTGTAAGTACGTACTTGGAATGAGTTTTATTTCAAAAACATATATTCATTACATTGTGATTTAAAAGCAGAAAAAGTCATAGCATCAAATTTAAAGGCAGGCAATTTGTTAGTCACATTTCACAGTTACAATTTATGATAGTTACATTTCAGATTTACAATTTATGATACAGATCAACTTCCCTCAGGTAGTTCACTATCAGATGAGCGGTCACGCGGGAGAACAGATCTTTTAGGTTAAAACAAGTCAAGAGAGACAGAGATATGTGACAGCTGTGATTGGATGAAATAGTGTAAGATGTTTGTTTTTTAAAAGCACATCCAACCAGTAATCAAAACTGACCACAATTTTAAGTATTTAGTGCTGTCATTTTTATCACCATCACTTATGCTTATTGTGTGTACAGATATTTTCCAGTAGGTGACATTTGGTGCGGAACTGGGGTTGATGTGTTCCGCTTCCTGTGCTCGCAGAACGAGCCGGACAAGTTGGCCAGATATTGTGTTTTATGGTAGTTTAAAGGCCAGAGTGTACCAATGTGTACATGGAATGGCTGTTGAAAGCCTGTCTATTTTTTAAAAAATTATAAGGTTACTATAGAAGTCTATGGGAAAACATTTGGTGTTGTGTAACCTAATACCCGAATCATGATATATGACGTTAGTTGGATCATATATTTATAAACTGGAACAAATAGCAGTTTTCATAATGTAAACGTGCGAATGGCATTTACGCCCCATTAGACCATGATCTACGCTGTACAGATGTGTGTCGGCTTACTGAAAGATAACAGCCGAAATAATTCGGGTTTGGGGGAACCATGATTATGGGTGCGTTGCTGGCATAACTTGCAACATCATCAGTGTATACCAAGGATTCGAACCCATATAAGTAGTTTTCTAGCATCACGATTGGGCCATCCGACCCTTACAGATGTTGTAAGAAGTGACTAAGGGGATCGGATGGTCATGGTGACATGTTTAACATGTGTCACCGTATCCCAAATGCGTAGATCGATGTTCATGTTGTTGATCATTGGATTGTCTGGTGCAGACTCGACAGAACGCCGGGACAGGGATAAACACGTGCTTATAAATATTTATGATCATGATTATAACATATAGACAACTGACAGATGTTGTTGATCACTGGATTGTCTAGTGCAGACTCGATTATTTACAGACCACCGCTATATAGCTGCAATATTGCTGGGTGCGGCGTAAAACTAAACTCAGCAACTCACTGACAGCTATCGCGTAACGACTTTCATCAAGCACCCTACCAGCGACCCTCATAGACTAACTGTCTAGTCACGTAGATCAATCACGTAATATACAACCAAAAACATTGATTTGCTATTTGCATGCAGGTTCCGATCTAATCAAGCTGCAAACAAGCGCGGCATGGCGAATTCCAGACTCCATCTTGGAGACAGTGTGTAGACTCGCTGTGTCATCGCGGACGTAACACGTGACATTTGTTTGGTCGCGTGAGGTCAGCATTGTCCTGAGAGGTGTGCGTGCTTGTGGTAGATGCTTGCCGATCCAATGGTGTCACGGAGGTCGCTGTTTGCGCTATGTTCAAGAAATTAGCAGCCCTGTGGCAAAAACCATCTCAGATATTTCCTGAGTATTTCTTTCTGTTTCCGTGAAGCAGTAGAGGCTTAATCTCATTGAGGTGCCGGGGCGGACATAATGGCTGCGTGTGAACTGTCGCGTTTGACCTTTCAGTAACAGTGAGTGCGTCCATCAGGACATCCACGGACGAGAATTGGGGTGCGACCCTCACCAGCCGATATCAAGATATCATTGAACGGATTTCACAGATAAATCCTAACAAGTAGATACCAGAATATCATAGAATGGAGTTCTGTATTCACCCTTCCTATGGTCAGTAAACAGCAGGATATCAGAGATGGCATTCAGAGATCAAACCTCACCGGCAGATATCAGGATATCAAAGAGGGTGTGCAAGGTTCGCACCACACCACCGGCAGATATCATGATATGAGAGACGGGGTACAGGGTTCGAACCACACAGGCAGATATCAGGATATCAAAGAGGGGTACAAGGTTCGAACCACACAGGCAGATATCAGGATATCAGAGAGTTCAGACATTCAGAGTTCGAACCTCACCGGCAGATATCAGGATATCAAAGAGGGTGTGCAAGGTTCGCACCACACCACCGGCAGATATCGGGATATCAGAGATGGCATTCAGAGCCCAAACCTCATCAGCAGATACCAGGATATCAAAGAGAGGGTTTAGGGTTCGAACCTCACCACCGGCAGATATCAGGATATCAAAGAGAGGGTTTAGGGTTCGAACCTCACCACCGGCAGATATCAGGATATCAAAGAGAGGGTACAAGGTTCGCACCACACCACCGGCAGATATCAGGATATCAAAGAGAGGGTTTAGGGTTCGAACCACCCCACCGGCAGATATCAGGATATCAAAGAGAGGGTTTAGGGTTCGCACCACACCACCGGCAGATATCAGGATATCAAAGAGAGGGTTTAGGAACCTCACCAGCAGATATTGGGATTAGGGTTCAGAGTACGACATTGGGATTAGCAGGAAACTGGGCTCGTGGCGCTGATAAACAAAAAGGGATGGAACGTGGACTTCCGAATGTTGGAGTTGAGTTGTTGGAGCGGCCCAAAATTGAGGATTAGGTGTCGTCGGAGAAGCCGATAGTATACGTGGGGATGTGGTGTTTCGTTCCCCAGTGTACAAGGGGTGAGTGAGTCCAGCTATACGCCGCGCTCAGCAATATTCCAGCTATATAGTGGCGGTTTGTAAATAATGCAGTCTGGACCAGACAATCCAGTGATCAACAGCATCAGCATCGATCTGCGCAATTGGGAACCGATGACATGTGTCAGCCAAGTCAGTGAGCCTGACCACCCGATCCCGTTAGTCGCCTCTTACGACAAGCATGGGTTACTGAAGATCACTATTCTAACCCGGACCTCCACGGGTGCAGTGTATAAGGAAGATAGGGTGGGTATATGGTAGACAGCTGCTTTTCATGGTGAAAAGTGAAACAAATAAGAGATAATTATTCGATGGTGATGTATTTCATACAGGAAATGGAACACACGGGGATATTACAGGCATCATACAATACACGTCACATCTCATACGACGCCAATTTCACATTACACATTATTGGGCACAAAGGTGACATAGTAACGTGGGTTTTGACAGACGTTAAACTACGGATGTAACGAATTCAACTAATAGACATTTCGACTAAAATAATAAAGAAGCGACTGGGGAAAAAAACCCAGCTTGTCGTAAGAGGCGACTACAGGGATCGGGTGGTCTGGCTTGCTGATTTGTTTGAGGCTTCTCGGCGTATCCCAGTTTCGGAGATCGAAGTTCATGCTGTTGATCACTGGATTGTCTGGTTCAGACTCGAATATCTACAGACCCCCGCCATGTATCTGGAATATTGCTGAGTGCGGCGTAAAACAAGAAACAAAACTAAGTGACAGGTGAAAATATGAAATACTATATCAGCAAGTCACGTTTGCCGTACTGACGTGATCACGACAAACGATGACGTTGTAGTCTTTTTGTTTTGATAAGGGTTAGGGTTTGATTGGACAAACGTCCACACAATGCAAACACAAGGTCTTAGACAAAAACCGTTGGTTTTCAAGACGCACGTGCAGTGGCAAAACAAAATCGCTAAACACCTGTTTTCGGATAACTGAAGCATGGGTTGCTGAAGATCAATTTTAGCCCGGATCTTCACGGGTCTCTCCTTTCACGTTAGACAGCGGGTAGTCTAATCTTTCAGTACCAACATGTAACGGTGAGCTAGCCTTGTGGTTAAAGTGTTCGCTCGTCACGCCGAAGACCCAGGTTCGATTCCCCACACGGGTACAATATGTGAACAACATTTCTGGTGTTCCCCGCCGTGATATTGCTGGAATATTGCTAAAAGCGGCGTAAAACCATACTCACTCAGTACTATATGGGTACAAGTTACTGCGTTCATTAAAGTCGTATGTGCACTTGTGAGAATGTCCCGTCAATCGGAACATACACTGCTTATCTCCCATAAACTATGTGTCTGAAAGGTACCGACGTCTACCCGAATGCATCGGGTAAAGAGAAGTAACTCGATACTTTTGCGCTGTTTGCTAACTGTCAAAATGGCTAACCCAAAGCTTTTAAAATTTCGTATATTCCATTCCTGTATGAATGAATATCGGTAAGACACATTTAGTTGTCCAGTCCTCGAAGAAAAAACATATCGTAACAGGTAAACTCAATGTGAATAAGTATTAAGCAGAGTTAATCTTTCCATTTAGTATATCAGAAATTACAGATTTTGTCAACCACACAAGCACACATTTAAGTGGCATGTTAGAATGAGTGAGTATGGTTTTACACCGCTTTTAGCAATATTCCATCAATATCATGGCAGGTGAACACCAGAAATTTCCTTCAGACATATCACCCACAGGAAATCGAACCCAGTTCTTCGGCGTGACGAGCGGACGCATAGTTTAAAGTAATGAAAATACTGTTTCCTTTCGTTTGAAACAATGCCACTGGCCATTGTCAGGACTTAGATGTGATAGTACAAGAGATCAATCTAAAATATTTCCAAATTGAAGACTTCGCTCTAAAGTTTGGAACTCGAGAAAAAGTCTCTGCAGCGGCGTCCGCCATTTTGGTTTGAGTATTCCTACAACGAGTGCCGGTAACTATCTATATATGTTATTTATATGGTTTAAAAGTCAAATGCAATTATATGACCCATAAACATTGTCAAGACTATTAACGTATAACAATATAAAAGAAATACAAATGTAAGTATAGTTTACACAAGGTGACCACTGACCTGAGAGAGTCGCGACCATAAGAGTTAGAACCCACGA